AGTAGCCAGCGCGTAAATGTTTGTGTGGATGATAACTCTTAAGGTTATTGAGATTTATTCTACCACTTTGAAATACTCTTGAGTTCTATTATTATTGTACAGCATAATACGGTACACTTCATATTGATTAACCCAATGTTTGTCCAGTCGTCTCTCGAAAGTCAACACGTTTGGAAAGGCGACCACCTGCTGGGATATGTTGTTCCTTACCTCCACAACACGCATCCAAGTCCAAGAAGTTGTTGCCTTTCGGGTTGGTCTGTGTACATACATGTCTAACTCACCACAAAACTATCACCTCTTGGGACATTCTTCAAGATATATTCCCTTTATCATCTTCTTCGTCTTCATTATACTATTACTATTGATGGTATTTTGACATTGAATATTTGTTCTTCGTAAGTTTCTCAGCCAGTCAGCAGCCTAGTGCCTTCCTCTCACTCCCTTGTCTTCTCTGAACACTTACAGCTCTTAGTGACTCATGATAGCGCGGATCTTTCTTCTTGTAGGGCCACCACACTGTATCTACCGACTGCATATACTCCAGATGTGGCAGAACCAGGATCTTGTACAACCCATCTGAAGTTTTCTTGCTCCTAGTGGACGAAATCAAACAGAAACACATCGGTAACATTATAGATACTTGACGTAACACATTTCCCCATAAATGTTGTTAAAAAAATGAAATAAAATCCAATGAAAAACACATAAACTAAAATAAAATCCAGCGAAAAAAATCCTTATGCATGAATAATTAATGTTAAAAATAAAATAAAAATCAACAAGAAAGAAGCCAGGTTTACAAAATGTCTGTCGTTACCTCTAGAACCAGTGTAGTTACGACATTATGGCATTTCAAGAATAAAATAATATATGGTAGTAAATCCTGAAACACTCCGATATCATTTGACTCAGACACTTGGGAGAGGAAGGGGGTGGAGGGGCAAGTGTCATGTGCCGGTGTCAAGGGTGAAGTCATTTGAGTAGCTGCTTGTTCACTTGCCTTGGTATGTCAGTCTGTCCTTTTGTGGTACGTGTATAAATTGGATCACCTGATTATTCGCCCCTAACTAACGAGTATTTTGCTTTATGAGTGACCGGCTTAATGCTAACCTAACCTAACGAAGGGCAGGGAGTGCGTGGTGAGGGGTAGAAAGTATTATGGTGTGTGGTAAGGAGTGTATAAGTGTGTGTGTGGTAGAGAGTGTGTGGTAGAGAGTGTATGAGTGTGTGGTAGGGGCAGGGAGCGTCACAGGCCACACTAGTGTTTACAAACTCCACTCCACGATAACGAGATGACTCACTCACTTGTTTTCCAATACAAGTGGAAATACAACTTGACTATCGAAGGGAAAAATGTTTCTCCATTTCTTCTGTTCAAGGTAAAGGTCTCTCTCTCTCTCTCTCTCTCTCTCTCCACCCCGGACTTTATTTCACCTGATGATTAAACACCCTAACGCTACCTAAGGGAGTTAGAGTTAGGTTAAGTTCGGTGAGGCCTGTCTGTCCGTCTGCATGTCTGTCTTTTATACGGGAGAGATCAAGGCATAAAGAATGTTCAAAGCAGGGAGGAAATGACAGTGAACTTGGTGCCAGACAAGTGTAGACGCACTCAGACAGGAAAATGCAAAGACAACAACAATTATAAATTTACTTAGACATCTCTTCATAATGTTCAACTTACACACACTCATTATACAGAGCAAATCTAAGTGTTCACATAGATTCACCATTTTTCATATCATTTCACTTATGTTTTATCAGAGTGAAGGATGAACGACAAGTCTCATAAAGTGAACGTCGAATATTGTCGTTTCAAAACCTTTTTTTTAGGAAGTAATTATTTATCATTTTAACGTTTCTTGGTATTTAATTATTCCAGTTCTTACTCATAATGTTTTTTGTGGTTTCCTTTGCAACGTGTCTCTTTCCCCTCCATGAAAATATACTCAAATTAATTCAATCATATGTAAACAAGGTGATAAAGCCAATCCCTTTAAATTATCGCCGAATTTACCTCACATCAAAATGGTGAACAATGATCATATTCTTAAAAATCATTAGAAGGTTAGTTAACTCAGCGCCCCCCGCACTGCATGGACGCTCTGGTGCTGATCGCCAATCCTTCCTCACACACGTCCAGGCCATCGATCAATAGACCACCGTAACGAGACCCATGCAGTAACGCTTGACATTTTCAGAGCATTTATAGATATCATCATCGATCCCTACCTGTAAGATTGCCCTCCCATGGGTTTTTTTTCCTTAGTTTCTTTCATTTCTTTCCTAATCCAATCGCCGAGTCCGTATACTGTAGTTCGGGTTCCTCAAGGTTCCTCACTACCACCAACTCTTTTCACTTTTATGTAGATGTTTGTTAAGCTCTTCATTGATCAGTGACCCTGGCTGCCCTAGTCTTAAATTATAATAAATATTCAATGTCAGTGAAGACATTCTCATACGTGCAGGAAGTCTTTGTATTTGTATATATTTGGGCGAGGTACATCCAACTTGTTTTACATCAATATTACTAAAACAAAATATATAATATTTAGACACAGACATGATGTTGCATAAAACACCATAAGTTTTGACAACACCATCATCCCATCACCACACTTCAAGTTTTATACCGTAGTGAGAAACTTCGTCAGCATCCTAGCTAGAACCTTGGACCTACAGTATGTTAGGTCCTACTTCAACGACCAACACTAATGTGACAACCATATATGTCATCTGTGTTTGATGTTGAATGCCTAAATAAAATACTCTCTTCAACGAGACTCGCCAAAAAAAAAAAGACTAAACATTTCTTGATATTGAAATTTTCCGGCAGCTTTGGTTCTCTGTCAGGTAAGCTTAGCCTCAACACGAAGCTCCTTTCCTTGATCAGGTGTGGCGACGTGCTGAAAATGTCCCGGGCATGTGTAGTTGATCAAAACTTCATTGAAAGCTTGAGGCATGCTGAGTTTAACCCTCTGAATAAAAGATAAAGTGAAATTAGGTCAGATTAGGTTGGGTTAAATTAGGTTTGGTTTGGTATTTTCAACCCGATATATTCTTAGTTATGTTCGGTATGGACCAAACACGCCCGGAAATGTTTTAGCACTCACAGGTCTGCCTCACTAGTCCAAACTCTGGTCCAGTACTGTAAGAAAGAGCAACAGCTGGAAAGGCTCACACCCGTCACCCCTCGGGAAGAAGATCCACCTGTCTTCTGTAAGGTGGCGAGAATGTCCACAACCTGAGAAAAATTAAAAAACGGGGCTGATCCGATGGACAAACAAGGGAATCATTACTTCCATTGAAAGCTTCTTGGACGATGATATCTCAGTGACTGGTAAACTGTGAGAGGAAATTAATAATGATAGTGTAGTCTTACCACACCTGAGTAAGAAAAGGGCTGGTCACGGCTGATGCCTTGGATAACCTTGACCATAACCCTCCTCTCTTGGGACGGGAACCAGCACAATCCAGCTATCCAACTTAAGAGGTGTCAAGAGTCTGCAGTTAGCCTCCTACGCAGTAAATACTATGCAGAAACCCCACCTTCATTGGGACCATTACCTGCAGTTAGCATGAAAACCTCGACTCATACAATCAACTCATACATCCAAACGCTCAATAGGTCATTTTGATACATTTGATTTCCATTTTGAATAATCATTCAACTTGAGCTCAACTAAACCTACCATATTTTACAACCCATGGCAACTTTAGTCTTTCTTGGCGGCTTTTTGTTTTGTGTTTTGCATCTCCAAAGCCAAAACTTTCATCATCAGATATATCCAGACTATGTGTAGGATAAGGGTACAGACACTAGATCAAGGCGCAGAATTTCCCTTTTAAATTATACCTAGTTTCAATGGCCGATTCAAAGGTTGACCCTATGAGCTCAGAACATCCACTAGTAATTTTGGTTTTAATTCAGATACAGAACATTCTATACACGTGATTAAATCGACCAAAGTTATTGAATTTGACATTAACGAAGTGATCGGCTGAATTTTGGCATGTGTGAGAATTCTAGGTCGCATGACGGAAAATTCTTGGTATAATTGTGATGCCATTATAGGTGCTATGACTTAAATCCACAAGGTAAGTCCTCTTACATCTCCACTTGCGAGGGAACTTTAACACACGGATCATTGAGAATCGTGGCCCTGAATGGCGAGAGTTGTTCCACAGTTGTTCAGTGTTTGGTAAACTAACATGACCATAGCTGCCGCTCTTGCTATTGCTTACACTGGGATGTGAACTTTCTTGTACTGTTGTACAACATTGTGCAACTTTTCTCATTACTCTCAATATATCAGTACAATTATTAAGATTTTCATTCAGATTATTAAAATGCGTATACATCTCTTGAATGTAACAGGATTGTCTTATAATCCTTATTTTCTCTGTGAATTTTTACCACACTAGTGTGTCTGCATCAACAATTACAGTACTCCAATCAGAATCGATCTGCACGCCACTACCTTATTAATGACACCATCCCACGTGCTTCATTGATCATGCCACATAATATATACACTACTAAGTGAGTGAAGGGCGTAAAGAACATGTAAGTGTGAGTATAATAGAGAGAGGCTGAGATAGGGAGGGAAATAGTGGTGTGGGAGACATGTCGCTGCATAAAGGATCATGAAAACACCTCCTGACTCGAATGGCATTTCCTGTTGCCAATTAACCTTTTAGTAACGCAAATTCCTTCATTTTTGGGATATTATGCTAATTGTAGACCCTTTTGTGAATTATAGTACATCCATTCATAACGGAGATTATCCAAATTTTTAACTAATACTAGAGAATTTATACATATTAATTATAAAATAACACATTTCATCTAATTGCAACTTAATTTTATCATTCCGGTATTATGCACAATGGATAATAGTTTATCAATTAGGCAGGAATTATTAAGTTTATAAGGTTATTTGAGAGTATGTGGTAGGTAGTTAGTGGTAGTAGGCGACAACTGGTAAAGCCGACATGGCAGCGCTGGTGACCGTCGGTTGTTTCAGCTTTGTTTTGCTTCGCCCGCTGGTAGGGCTGGAATTACGAAATACAAAATAATATAATTCATTCTATCACCCAGTTTAACTAGTGGCAGTGTTCCTGATCATACAGTCTTCCTTAATAAGTGGAGAGATGATTAAGAAGTGAGAGATATGGTGACAGGGTGAGAGGAGAGTGAGAGAGAGGAGGAGAGAAGTGAGGGTCTGTGAGGCAGCAAGACGTCATTCCCAGAAAACAATGACCATTTAAACCACTTGTGGTAATTTCCCCTCCCCCCCCCTCCAAGATGCATTGTCCCTGGCTGTAGTGTGTGAGTGTGCTGCTACTTCAAGTTCAAATATCTCCTTAAGGTGAGTGGTGGTGACCTGTGTGTGCTGCTGTTGGTCGTGTCACTATAGGCCTAGGGTGCTCACGGCCTCCCCTCAAACACAAAAACAAACTATATTAATTAAACTAACAGTAATATAAAATGTAATTAACTTAATAATTTATATTTTTTAAGATGCATTTCTTATATTTATATGGAATTTTAAGTTTCAAATTAAGTGTTATTTTCTTATTGTTCAGTTATAAATATTAAAGCAATGGCAAATATCTAGAATGACTCTGCATTATTAATTATTATTTTTTTCATCCCTATCTTCAAGAGTATGTTTGCTTTAATGCCTAGTATGTATATTCAGTTGTGCAGCAGAAAAAAATAACTTGTGGTGATGGAGTAGCTATTATATATACTGTAATTCTTTTATTCAGTGATGCATTAAACAAAAACTCTTTTACCAAAACAGTATTTGCAGATCCTAAAATGATATCAGTAGTTTTGAAGATCATTTTCTTGAGATATTTCCATTGTGGTGATTGAGGTATTGTGGTCAACTTTTAAACCCACCAAAACAGCCACACCTCACCTAACCTTACCTGCTGAATCTTGCCTAAGATAATTAAGTTTTGTTTAGCCAGTCAATTTAGGTTTTGATAATTTGTTTTGACTGTTATAGAAAAATGGTTTGTTTGCTGTTTACAATTAAATGATATTTGTAAAAGTCAAACTTTAAGATTGTCATACAACTGAAACAGCTAATTTGGACTATGATACTGGTCTTCATAATTAAAAAAAAAATTACGAGCAGAATTAAGAATCTGAACTAATTGTTAATGTTAATTAGAATCCCATTATATAGGCCGATGCTTGAAGAAGACCGTCTGGCAATTATTAACATTCCTTGATGTATGAATCTGCAATATTAAATAATTTACGAAAGATGGCGTGAAAGAAACTAAATTAGCGTAGTGTCAGAGATTGAATAATTATATACAGTGTTCTTACATTTTTATTTGTGCGCTTAATTTATATTATTTGAAGCAGTACGTATTTTTAATAAGTTTAAATTCTCGTAATACTGTGCATGTGAGACAAAAGACTTGGATGCATATACCTGTATTTTAATAGTGGCAATAGTGTTATTTTCATTTTACCTTCATAAAAAAGTACTGTAGTATATTCACCAGGTACATTCATGTCTTGAACTACCGTATCTATTTTTGAAAATTTAAATTTTTCTTGGAGATCTTGCCTGATAACCTCTTGAAGCAAGTTGGCTCTGGCCTCCACTCTGTTTCACTTTACTCCTGTGATTTAAACCAAACCTTCAGTGTATGATGTCTGGTTTTGGTAGATATGGACCACTGAGTAATTTCAAACTTTGTCCATATCTGTAAAAATTAGACAAAAAACTATGATGGTTTGTTTTCATTTGCCACAGCAGATGGAGGCTGCAGGTACTGCATATACAAAAGTGTTACCATGTAATAATTCTAAAGGCACGTTTTTCAGATTACCTTTCATAAAATTGACTACGGTATTGTAGAAACATAGAGAACTTCATCATTTTTGTCAGAAAAACGTGATAGTCATCTAAGCTGTTTGTCAGTTAAGTCTTTTATTTTTATTTTTCATAGAATTGCCTGAAATAGACTTAACTATGTTAGGAACTGTAGCTAACCTATGCAAGCATGGAAAATGGCCATAAACAATGATAATGAAGGAATATTTTGGTAAGATTTTTTGTTAGGTAAATTTAGGAGCACTGCACACCATGAGAGTAAATGTGGTGCTATTGCGAGAAACCATTTTAGGGTGAAAATGTAAAACATATGTTGTTTTTTTTCTTCTGTAGATAGACACATTGGGAACATTTGGCAAGCCATTTGCTGCTGTTGATTTTATTAATGATGTGATTTATAAACCCAAGGTCAATATTTCATAAAGTTGTTGCTTTCTAGACAGTTGAGAAGCAATACTTGTGTCTTGTTTGTGTACAATGGCATAGTTCAGTACTGTTACATTATTTTGCAGCTCAGAATAGTGCAGTTGGGATGTTCAACTGTTTTGATAATCATTATAATTGGTAAGGTTTATTATAAAATATTAATTTGTCCTAAACCACACATACATACTGTATATACACACATGTACATAGGAGAGGACAATTTATATTTATGTACATGTAGGTGTATTGTACTGTACACATATAGTACTGTATTTACAATATTGAATCACTCTTGAGGTCGTTACTTGAGGAATTTTATCGTGAAATTCATTTGTACTGTATTGGTCTAATGCAGCATTAGATAGCTATGATAATGGAAGACTTTCCTCAGTAATTACTAGGGATTATTAAAATTCTTAAGAAACTATTCCTGAAGCCTGAAACATTTTGTTACTTTGTTTTGAAATGTTTTTGATTAAATTTTGTTGGGATTGTGTTAAACATCGCTTTCTCACATTTGCAGATGACGGCGGCCCCTACCTCTGCGGATGCGTGTTTAAGCATCGTTCACTCCCTCATGTGCCATCGCCAAGGGGGAGAATCAGAGGGATTTGCCAAAAGAGCCATTGAGAGTCTTGTCAAAAAACTTAAGGTAGGTCAGAAGGTAGATTTGTGGTGTGTTTTTTTTTTTTTCTCGGAAATCTTCATCTGGAAGTTTTTAGTATACAGTACAAGTGAACGAAAGGGGTGTTGACCTCTTATTTACCTAATGGCCACCCACTAGAGGTGACCATGCTGAGAAAAGGAGGCCAGTGGCCTGTGTAGGATCCCTCCATTTTTCTTGATCGCTTTGTTAAGGGCTATTTTGATGCCCATTACTGTTCATGACTTGAGCTGGTAGACCGTTCCATAGGTCTACTTTGGTCCTTCGTTTTATTTATTTATTTATTTATTGAATTTATTTATTTATTAATTGTTTACACTTGTATATCTTTCCAGGAAAAGCGAGACGAACTAGATTCATTGATAACCGCTATTACAACAAATGGGTCTCACCCCAGCAAGTGTGTCACTATACAGCGAACTCTTGATGGGAGATTACAGGTAAGACATCATTTTAGTTCAAATTCATATAAGACTTTAAATAGAAATTGATTGATGGTAATTTTATGTTCACTGTAAGATGAATCCACTTACCTGGACTCTTGATTTGTACAGGTAGCGGGTCGGAAGGGGTTTCCTCACGTAATATATGCTCGTATCTGGCGATGGCCGGATCTACATAAAAATGAGCTGAAGCACGTCAAATACTGCCAGTTTGCATTTGATCTCAAGTGTGACTCGGTGTGTGTCAACCCTTACCACTATGAACGAGTGGTCTCACCTGGCATTGGTAAGTTAAAACCAGTTATTAAGGAATTATCAGGATTTATATGTAACCCTTTTTTATGATTTGGTCCTTTGTGTACTGTATATTGCTATTATTCCTGATGATACAGATTGTGTGTGTGTATCTGTGTGTGTATCTGTGTGTACATGTACTAATGGTTCATATATTTTCCAATCAATACATTATTTTTAGACCTGAAGATGAATGACCATGAAATGTTTAGAATGTTATTGAACTACAATTAATAACATGGCATTTAATCACTACATTCTTCCTTTTAGTTATCAGAACATGGTCACATACTCCCCCCCCCCACTCTCATAAAATTATTTTATATCTCTGTATTGAAGTTCCTGACATCATGCCTTGCCAGTATAGTTGAGGAGGTAGTGGCCATCCCAGTGTGCCGACAACATTAGCTTTTATTGTGTTTAACTTGATTCTTTTATTTTTTACTCATTCCTACAGTAAATAACACCTAACTCTTAACTGACTGTTTATTCACAATGCCAATCTTGGATGATATGTCATTTTACAGGCAGAGGTGTTATACATGCCCACTTAGAGTTAAATGTATGGAATGAACTTGAGAAATTTTTATTTACTTAAAGATAATAAAGTAAAGACTGACAGGAAATGCACTACAGTTTACAGATAAAAGTCTGAGTGTGTAGTGCCATCTGGGGGTGGAGGGACACTTTATTGTTTATTTGGTACTTTTATTATTTATGTGGTTTATAATAAATAAGAACTTTAATCTTCTTATTTGATTTCAATTTCTTGCTTTTGAGATGTAATAACACACAAACAAATTAAGTAACTGGTTGATAGCTACTGAAGATGGTTAAGTTGACACACACTGTTATATTTGTAACCATAGCATACTTTTATTATTAATTACCGTACTTTGCATATAAATGCCAAGACACTTTAGGAGAATGTAAAACTTAACACTTTCTTGGTCAGCACTTGTTTTATTACTATACTGTAGTTTCTGTTTGTGACTCCAGTAACAAACAAACGAATGGGATGACTGGCCTTGGATGGTAGAGGAGTTGGCACACACCACTGTATTTTAGAACTATACTATAAAAATTTTGTAGTTTGGGTAGATATGAGGATTTTGGCCAGATAGAGGAAATGTCTGTCAGAGCAGAACTGACCTTTCTCATTATGATGGAGCCTTCCCCCCCGATATGAGAGTACAGTATAGTATTGCATGGTGGGATGATCTATCTTACAGATTTGGTTTGAAGGAATTTAGGGGGAGAAATTTATTGTTTGTGAAAGGTTTTCAATTCCAGGATTCAGTTTCTTAGAAGCTTATCCATAGTGCCAGTGCTGAGTGCTCTTGGGTGTCTATAAATAGGCAGCGTCTGTCACATTAGAAACATTTCCAATGATTCATCAGAGGTATAAATCCTGATGATTATTATTATCGAGTTCAGTATTTTTAAGTTTTTAAGTTTCAATATTTGTCTGCTGGCGTGCTAGCATCTGATACGCCTTTTCTGGTTGGACCTCTGAGAAAGTTTATTTATTTTTTATTTTTCTGCAGGGATATTAGTAAATTTTTATGATTTTTCTTTTTGAAAAGGCCAGTGTGAAATATTGCTGTGGCATGGTCTTTAGAGTTAGTCCTTTATATCCTCAACTTTATAGGAAATTTCTCTGGAATATTTGGAGCCTTCATGAGACTTTTTTCCTTGGCTCTTGCCTCTGAGCCACATGGCTACAGGTGTTGAGGACAAGTGGTGGTTTCACAATTTTTGGTTCATCTTTTCAATGGACAAGTGCTGGCTATACAGAATTCCACTATCCCACCTTAGTTTGTGAACAGGGTTTCGGGTTCAGTCTTCTATTTTTAAAGGTGCATATATGTTTAATATTGTTCTCACATACAGTATAGCATTCACTTTTGGAAACCTTGGTAAGTATCATTAGTAGTACTTTACAGAAAACATGATTGTTGTCACATTACTGAAAGTCATATTAACTTAATGATATTAAATTTGAATATACAGTACAAATGTTAATGGTTTACATAAAAATTACAGAAATAAAAGGAACGAAATAGAAAATAAAGAAGAAATGTGTGGTTTCTAATATTAATAGCACTTGTAAGGAAGCTCTGTCCAATTTTCCCTTGGGGATGAGTTGCTTTAGTGTGTAACAAGTTGGCGGGATCTTTGATTGGTCAGTTGAGGGATATAGTTATGCTGTAATGGGAGAGATATTTCAGGAATGAGATGAAGTGGTGTGTGCATGTATTAAGGCATTAGAATATAGAGTGAAGGAATACTTAGAGAACCAGAGTGATGCTCGAGAATGTAAACTTATTCAATATCTAGGTTCGGCCTGTTTGAAATTTTAGTTACATCTCTGTTTTTTCCAATTTTATTTTCTTCTCTTATCTTATTAGACATAGAACATTTTTATGAAGTACCTTATGATTTTATTACACACATTAACACCTCATGCTTGATAAACATCCTGACTGTTTGTCATTCCTACGACAAGCTAGAGCTGACGGTCTCTTCCTCAAAGCAGACTTGACTGGGCTGAGCCTGCAGGGTGCATCTACAGGTCAGCTGGTGAAGGACGAGTATGGACTACGCATGGATTGTGAAGTGAGTGGGGGACCTGCGAGTGTAGGGGAGCCCTCAGTCACCCCGGGTCCCTCAGGACTGTCTGCCATACCGCATCAGCCCCCAGGCTCACAGCCAGGCCCAACGTCTTCACAGGTAGGACAAGTTTAGGCAGGGCCCCTGACTCACACATAACACCTTTTCATATACAAGTCTTTCTAATCAGTGTTAGAGAACTTGTTCAAAATCTCAATATATTTACTCCTGAACATGCTGATTAAGGATATGTAATTAAGGATATGCTGATTAAGGATATGTTGTCTGTAATTTGATATCTGTATAATTATTTGTGCAACTGACATCTAAAAAAAATAATTACTTTTCTAATGCTAATTACTCACCGCCTTTGGTTTTTTTGACCAATCTTACTCAGTGGTACAGTATTAGTGTTTGGTTTTTAATGAAGGAGGGGTTTACAATTTTAACAAGATATGTTTGTTTTTTCTTGAATATGTAAGAATTTAAACCTATGGTAGACTGAAGAGAGATAAATGTCATGTCATTATCTAGGTACTGTATATTAACCACCTGTCACTTAATAGCCGGCCGGACCTCAAGCTAGCCCAACATCCTCACAGGTGGGGTAAAAATTTTCTTATTGTCTTTCGGTATCGTTGTTGCCGTTGATATTAGTATATATGTTGTGTATTATTTATTTAGATGCTTCCTCTTTTTTTTATTTGTTTTTATTCATGCAACCTTTCTTCTGCACAGTATACAAGGTCACTGGAATCATCTTGAGTACTGTACTAAAGACTCTTCCATCATTAGTTTTTATTCGGTCTCTCTAGCTAACTGCCTTATCGGATGTTTTCTATAATATTTCCCTCTGACGACGAGGCCTCTAAGCCATGAATATCACACTGTCACCTATCATAAATTCACTTTTTAATACCTGTTTCTACTATCATTCTCTCCCCATTTTCTTTCATTTGTTACATTCCATGCTTACCTGTGCTCTCATCCCTTCCATATTACCCACTTTAGCATTTTAATCTCCCACCACTACCAATCCTGTGTTAGTGTAGTTATTCGGGTCATTTTCAAAATCTCTTTCATTTCTCAACAATGTTTGTAGTTAGCATAATCTTTTGTTTCATGTTGTTATGTCAATACACTGAAAATAGATTTGAAGACACGTGTATAAATTTTTAACTCGTGTACATTACAGATTCTCATATAGTGAGGCACATGTTCTCTGGATGCTGTACTGGATTTAGATTTATGTTATTTCTCTGTCAGGCTGGAAGTCTTCATCAGACAGTGGCGAGTGCCCCACAGCAGACCATATCCCATCACCCAGTGTCTCACCCGTCCTTCTCTCTGCTCTCCCCTACAGGTAAACCCCTTATCAGCTCTCCTTCAGGAATGATATTAGTACTTTTGAGATATATACAGTATATGAATGTGCATTATTAGGTCTTTACTGCACCCCAGCTGGGTGATTCACTGGATCTTTTTTTAATTGCAAAGAATTCTTTAATTGTATCTTCTTAAAGTTATGAGGCATGAGCTTGTATTACTGTTATGTCAAAGGTTAAGGTCAAAGGTTGTACATTGTTGGGAGTGTGGTGTTTGTGTCATCATCATCAAAGTTCATCAAAGTTTTAGGGTCATTTTCCACACTGCACAAAGGGTCAAAGGCCAGGCAGGACCTTATCTAGAGCTTTATGATATTGTTTTATAGGTAATGGTAAATGTATTATTGTATACAAGAGTGGAAAAAAATAAACTTAATACTGTACTTAAACATGTTTCAAGTTGAAGTAGTGTGTAATTTTTTTTTACATTATCTGGGAAAAAATGTAATTATTATATTTGATTATGAAGACCTTGGCTGTAGAGAAGATTGACCAGAATTTATGATCTAGTAGATGATAGTTCTTGAAGTAAATAGAATGAAGTAGGAGTTAAGTGTATGTGTTTTTTTTTTACAGGTAGCACGTCCAGTCACATGTCACAAGGGCTTCAGTCTCCCAGCCCATCAACTCCAGGTCCCCAGCAGTTCTTTCCTGACAGTGTATCAAGTAAGTGTTGCAGTGTCGGGACTCTGGACATTTTACCTGACTAAGGAACTCCCGACTGGACAGATTATCCTGAAAACAATCAAGTGTTCAGCATAGTTTGACTGTTATTTTGACTGTCCAGCATTGGCGAGATAGATGAGAAGATATGCATTGAGATCTCTATTTATTTATTTTGCATTGTAAGGTGATAATGGATTAACAGCACATACAGTTATAGTTGCCTTCTTGTCAACTTATATTTTGTTTACAGACAGTAAACTCATTTTACTTTGTCATTAATTTGGTGAAAATGTGAATTCCATAGAAAAATTCCCATTAATATGTACAGTGGATCCTCGGTTAACGAGTGCCTCGGTTAACGAGTTACCTCCCATAAGATTCTTAACTTCGGTTAACGAGCAATCCCTCAATTAACGAGTTTCTTACGAGCCGACCTCAACATGTTTTAGCTTGCATTTGGCTGTCCACCAGCTGTAGTATTAGTCCGCCAATACAGTAATCGGTTCTAGGGCTTAAATTCCTTATCCTTTTAGTAAATATCAAGAAGTTTATACTATTCAATAATTTTAAAAGTTTAATATTAAATTTTTTAGTCATTTTAACAATTATTGAACATAATTGAAGGTAAGGTCACTAGTTTATGGCACGCCATCCAGCCTACCAACACAGCATACAGGCGTCAGTCTTTGTGTCTTTTCAGTGGAGGTATCATCTTGCTTGAGACTCTCTTCAACTAAACGCTTTTTTTCTGTGTTTACAAGCAAATTATATTGGTCATTTTGAAATTTATTTTACATATTGACAATACATAATGCAGTGCAGTGTTGATTTAAAGAAAATAATCTTGAATTACATCAAGAGAACTAAAATTTTATGGGTGAAATGGCGCCATGGGGCGACTTCTCTTCCACCCCAATGCCTTCTCTTCTCCCTTCTCCTCCACCCCCATTCTAATTCCCATCATCATCATCCAGGAGCCTTCTACATACACGCCTCAAAGTAAGTGTACTTTTCTACCTTTTTTGTTGAATTTAGGCAATTTTCGGTGAGCTGGAACCAATTACCCAAGAACCCATTGAAACAATGGTTTCGGTTAACGAGCAACCTTCTAGAACGGATTGTGCTCGTTAACCGAGGGACCACTGTATCCAGAAATTCTGTAATTGTTTGACCCATTTTCATAAAACTCTCCATGCTGGTGTATATATGTGAGATTATGCATAGAACAAAAATAATTTTATTCTATGACCTTTTTGATAGGAAATGTGATATTTTTTAGTGATAATGAACTTCCGGTATTTACATGCTGATGCAATTACTGGCTGATTCTTGTATTAAGATTTATTGTAAGTTAGGTTCATAATTGAGGATGTTTAGCAGGTGTCTTGGTGTTCTGTTGTGTTGATGGTCTTGTCTTTTGAATGTTAGTTTTAGTCATTTTTGTCATTTGTATGTTTATATGTTTTATTATTTTATTTCAGCAAGTAGCTTGAGCCAGTTGTCACCCCACCTTCAACAGCCACCACAGCCACCGCAGCCACAGCCGCAACATCAACCTCAGCCGATACAACAGCCACAGCAACAACAAAACGGGTTTACAGTATTGACAAGTGGAACAGGAGCCAACTCAAGAACTGTCCAGGGAGGCCCAGTCACTTCCCAGTTTGGCCAGGCTGCTGCGTCTCCCCAGCAAGTTTCACCTCTCTCAGTTACCACACACTCCATGTCCTCGCAGCCAAATTGGAGTGGCCAGAACACACTCTCTTATACACCCAACATGATGAATGATCGACAGAACCATAGCTTCTGTAAGTAAGCCATTACAATCGAATACAATAAGTTTTTCCACTCTGGTAACCCATTTCTTACAGTGTTTCTTATGAACTTCCCCCTTCATTTGTTCTCTTAATCTCTACATTAGGTGTGTACAGGTACTTGGTATAAAAGATCAAATTAGGATGTTTATTCATTGAGACGAGAATTATTTATGATTCACTTGAAGGTTCTGGAACATCAACACACCTGTCTATTTAACTTGTGTTTAAGGAACTCACAACTTATATATATATAGACTGTATGTAGTAATTACTTTTTTATTTAGCATATGTATGTAGTGATTATATTTACTTTATTTTCATGTTTAAGAAATAAAATAAACATTTACAGTTTCCCAGTAACTTCTGAGTCTTCCATTGCATGTATTTCACTTATTATATTTATTTTTGGCTTGAATTATAGTATGCACCAAAAATTGTCATCACATGTGTAGCATTTTAAGACTTTTTGGTAGTACAGTAAAGTAATAAATTAATTTTATCTTGACCGAGTTAGTTTCCTTAACTTTATAAATACTGTACTGTCTTGTTATATGGTGTTCGATTAATTGACTATGTTATGTTGTTACTGTGCAGGGGACCAGCAGCAGATGATGCAGGATGTCCAGATTGCACCACTATCATCCCAACCAGGCCCGGAGTTTTGGTGTTCGATAGCATACTTTGAATTAGACACTCAGGTGAGACGATAAATAAATAAGGGGGATATAAACTATATAAACTAAATATTTTTATTAGTGATTCCAGCAGAAAAATACATTGGGTAAAAATGGTTTGGGTGGTAATCCATGCATGTATTGTCCAACTGGTTAAATTTTTCTAAAGCTTTCCATGAATGTTCTGTATAACAAGGTTTAAGGTGTGTTTATATGGCACTTGTCCATATGGGTTGTTTGTTTGTTTGTCATAATAATTGTGGCACTAAATTTTCACTTGAATTTTAGGTGGGCGAGACTTTTAAGGTGCCCTCTAGTTGTCCAGCAGTGACTGTGGATGGCTATGTAGACCCCTCAGGTGGCAACCGCTTCTGCTTGGGAGCACTGAGCAATGTTCACCGTACAGAACAAAGTGAAAGAGCTAGGTAAGTGGAAGTGTTTAATAATTTTTCAGTATTTTATTACTGAAAGAGATTTCATAAACATGTTCAAAGATCAAGAGATTCCTTATAGTCAGCAAGTGTAGGAGGTCGAATCCCTAGGTCCCAGGTGGTCCCAGGGATTTAAGAATTGAATGACTAAAAATCCTTCACCTTCATACTAGACTTCAGAACATTAAAGTTTAAACCACGGCATGAAAGTGTATAACTTTTGCAAACTTTTATGACCCTTTACTGACTTTCATTCACCAAATTTCTGTTCACTTTTCTAAATTTGTGTTTGTCCCATATTTGAGATGATTTCATCGTGTGAATAATTGCTTTGATTCTTCTGATGGTGGCATTTGATTGTGAATGATGACAGTGGTGAGGATTCTGTTCCCTCCTCTATAATGAATGGGAATATGGTGAAAGGGTCTCACTATGATGACCTGAGATGTGTAGAAAGTCTCTTATGTTTTGGGTTTTTCATTATTAAGTTGCATAAGATAATACTGTGTCCAGAAAGATAAATATTTAATCATCTTTTTCTCAAAAAATTTGGCCTATGTACTTCACCAGCAAACATTACTTTCATTATGTTTTGTTTATATATTTTTTGTACAATATGTTAGTTATTCCCGAATGTACCTCTTTCATTCCTACGTGTTTTGGTGTGCTGTACATACATAACAATTCTGTCTTTCATTGTTTATTAATTTCAAGATTTCATGACAACTATTGGCATTGGTTCATAATTTTTTTCACACTTTTCTTACAGTTAATAGAAATGCTTAATGTTGTATCAATTTTAATGTATCAATATCTCCATGGGAGGTTTGGTGTGTCTCATATTAAGCAGATAATTATGGTGAATGTCCGGGGAGGTTCAGAGAGTTACATCTTGTTATGATGTAGGTTGCACATTGGTAAGGGAGTTCAGCTGGACCTGAGGGGCGAGGGGGACGTGTGGCTGCGTTGCTTGAGTGACCACAGTGTGTTTGTCCAGAGTTACTATCTCGACCGTGAAGCGGGCCGATCCCCAGGTGATGCCGTACACAAGATATACCCCTGTGCTTGTATCAAGGTGGGTGACTGCTGGGTTTATAGCCCTTTATATTACGAAGGTGAGTATACACATGGTGTTGTTATTACTCCTCCGTGTAGGTGAGTACAGTATACTTAAGACATGGCCTCCCTGTGTAAGGATGTTTAATACTTCCCCTTTGCACTTATCGTCTAACCATCTTTAATATGGGTTAATGTTTTTCCTCTTATTCCTCAAGTGAGACTATGGTAAACCTAAAATAATTAACTTTCATTGACTGCTAAATCATATCAGGAAAGACATGGAAAGGGTAGAGCTCATGAGGTAATATCTACTGACAAGGGGCGGAGATGAAGGTTTAGGGTCTTCAGCTTCAGAAGGATCTGTTATCTCGTTTCTTTTCAGTGAATGTAGTTCTCTGTATCCTGGCTTGTGGAGTTTTGAAAGTGGATAACTTTCCTGAGCATGCTGATTCCAAATCTATGGTCCACCATTCGATTGTGGAGTAATTAGTGGTCAAAATGATGCTTGGAATATTTTAATTATTTTTTTGGTTTTAATTATATTTTCAATGCCAATTACTCGCTAACTATGGGTTTCTGAGGTATGATTTGGGTGTTTTTGTGTTATTCTGGAAGAACTTAATTTGTTAAACCCCATAAATTCCTATTCTGAGAGAAAAGTATACAGTATTTCGGTGTAAATATTCTTAAGGCATAAGCCTTAGTTTTCAGCCATTTTGGCCCAAAATTTGATTTTGTTAAAAATCTCAGTATTGTATTTGGGAAACTGGTATTTCCTTCATTAGAGGAATATCTTCTCATCTGGTTTATGCTTCGAGTCTGAGGTATGGGTTTTTGTTCTTTCTCCTTAGGTGTATACAGTATACATTATTAAGCATAGTGCCTTTATTCTTTATGTGGAAGCTTTAACAATCCTTTAATGAGTGATGTATGAATACTTTTAGAAGTTCTTTCATGGCACAGTACAGTGCTGTAATTGGAATGGTGAATCATATGTGTGTTTCACCATCATGTTGGGAACTTGTTTTCTATGCACAGGTCTTCTCAAGCTGAGTCCGATGCCCTTATGATGTAGGGACCTTTTTAGAGGAGGATTCAGAACAGGATCACTTGAGAAAGCTACATGTACTTTGTTTTCACACCACAATTATTTCTTAGTATTATTCAGCTTTTTTCAGAATTATTAACCACATTCATTTCACATTAGTTCTTTGTATTATTTTTGTTGGTCATCTTGAAGGACAATAAACTTGTTCATATTTCAGGTGATTATGATCATGACCGTTAAACATATCCTTATTACAGGTATTTGATTTGAGTCAGTGCCACCGTCAGATGCAGACTCAAGCAGCAACAGCTCAGGCAGCAGCTGCAGCACAAGCAGCTGCTGTTGCTGGACAGATCTCAGGTCCAGCTACTGTGGGTGGAATCTCTCCTGGTAAGAAATATGAACTGTATTTTTAAATTTCCTGGAGGAGACTAAAGGATTGTCTGTCCATCCATCTATCCTCAGTTTTCCATCACTTATCTTTACACTGAAACAACTGAAGATTTTATTTTAAAATTTGTCTGAAGTTTTGGTGATAAGAAAGCACAAATCGAGTAATGTTTTAATGCGATCAGTAATGGTCTGTCGGCAGCTATTTTTACACGTTACTAACTCATTGTATGGAAACTACAGGAGAATTACTTGGCATAAATTAAGGGAATAACAAACACTAATAAACTTCAAATCTTTTGTGAAATGTATGACTGGTAGGGGATGTGTTTTGTTTTCATCTTAGTTGTTTGATTGTACAAAATTCTCTAAGGAAAAGGACATACAGGTATATACATTAATTAGAATTGCATATACAGTATCTCTCTAACTTGACAACAAAATTTAAAATTAGGGAATAAATTTTTTTTACTATAGATTCAAACTTAGGTCTCATAGGTTGTGAATCCAGAATGCTGCCAACTGAGCCATGCATTGAATAATAAAACAAGTGTAATCTAATTAATAGCTTGTCAGTGTTTGTCTTGTTCTGCTCATGAATATGATGGTTTTACTCTGAATAATAATATCCAAGTTAATGATAGCTATTTGCCCATATACATTATAATTGTTTTAATCAGAAATGGTTGGCTTAAAGTAAGGAGATAGTTGAAATTATAAAAAAGAAAAAAGATTACAGTATTGAATTTTGTCACTTATCAAATGTGTTGATATCTTGACATTAGTTGTAAACTGTTCTTAGTCATATAATCAGGAGTGACTCTTTAATCCATCAGAAACAGCCACTTTCTCCTTCCTACACAGGTAACCTATCAGCTGCTGCAGGAATAGGAGTGGATGATCTTAGAAGACTTTGTATCTTGCGTCTAAGTTTCGTGAAGGGTTGGGGTCCAGACTACCCACGACAGACCATCAAGGAGACCCCGTGTTGGATAGAGGTTCATCTACACCGTGCGCTTCAGCTTCTAGATGAAGTTCTCCACACCATCCCCCTTGATGGTCCACGGCCTCTAGAGTGATGCAATGAGCCATCGAGGGACGTGCAAGAGATAGTTTCACAGGATGATCAACTCATACTCACATTAGAAGATGTACAAGGCGAAGATCAGTTGATCTTTATGCCCTTTTTCATGTGAATGCATGTCCCTCGATTTTGGCTCTATGCACGTACCAAGTTCACACACATACGTACACCCGTGTCTTTCTCTAAGTGAGAATACACCGTTGCATGGCCCATGCAATGGACCACATCAAAAGAATATGGATATGAGAAATGCTAGACATCTATAGAGTTGTGTTAAAGCACAATTCGTTTATTCTCATAATTATGTTATGATGGAGTGTAAGATTGGGTGTAATTTTTAAAACGTCAATCTAATTTTTCGTAAGTTGAACAATTTTGAGTACATGGGGAGTTGGTGCAAAGTTAATTTTCCCGTTCATTTTATAGTAAAATCTAGTTCAGCTTTTGTATTACAATTAGTCTTGTCACTGATGTTGCCGCATTTACTATGTTGGATCTTGTATATTAGATATTGATTTAGTAGTTTAAGATATCATATTTGAATGTGGATTATGATTCAGTCTCCAGTACGTATTGACTTTATGCCCGGTGTGTCAATTTTATGAATGGGAATTTAGTCTTTACCAGAAATTAATATTTAGTCAGTAACGAAGGAGGCTTGTAAGTAAACTAGAACCTTGTTCTTCCTACCTGTTCTCCACTAGATAAATGCACAAGATTCTACTTGGTTCAGAACCAGTTCCTACACCCTTAATTTGCCTATATAATAGGACCTATGGCAGCACACTGTGCTCTAAAACAAAATAAAAAAAAGTTATGCTACTTGCTTGTACCATTACTGTGTATAAACTGTCGGATAAACATATTATTTGGCTCACTGACTTCATATTGCTGCATCTTCTCTTAGAGGTATGTTAGCATTTTAAGAATTGGACAGTGCTTACCAGTATATGGGTTTGGGGGGTCATTGCAATGTAAATAGTTCCCTTGTTTTTAAATTTTATCCTGAAACTTTATTAATTGAACCCACATTAGAAATCTTTTTTTCAGTATACAGTAATTAAGTCCAGTCAAACCACATGTTTCCATTTAGGTAAACCTTATTAATAGTAAAGGAGGTTGCAGAGGAGTGAGGTCTAGTTTAATAATGTTCTGATGTTTACTAAATTGACACAAAACATTTTATTATTATCATTTGGTTAATTGAAAGCCAAAAGAGGCTGTGTGTTCCAATGAGTATGTTGCCCTAAACCTGGATGACATCTTCTCTCTCTATAGTTATATATATATGCTTCACTAACGTTATTTTCCAGAATTGAGACATCTCCAAAATCCTGCTGTTCTAGGACTTCAGGATTATTCTTCTTCACCATTAATTTTTTCTTTTTTTTTTCAAGTTTCATGGATCATAAATATTGTTATTATAAGAGTTATGAAATAAAGTCTGCTATCAATTTCTAGTGTCATGAAGAAGCAAAATTCTTTGAGGGGTCCATGGAATGTAAGGGATAAAAGTTTTTAGCCAAACCATGTTGACTGCCCCTCTGCTCCTTACTCAGATGTTGGCCATGATGTGGAGACAGTAAAGGATGATTTAACTTTGAGATGTTGACTTGTCTGAGAGTAACTTTTTCTCTTCCCTTCTCTTCTACAGGAGTTTAGGTTTTGGATAGAAACTGAGGAATGAAAACAGACAGAATATTGCAAAACATGTCTCCCAGAGCTTCAGTGTGTCGAGACCAAATTGCAGACACTATAGTAAAAAAGTGTGTTGATTGGCTCTTAGAGATGTCAGGCATGCAGTGATTGATTGCCCTCATATGTCCTGTATGAACAAGATGATTAAGAGAGGAGATAGGGATACTTAGGACCTTGTTACTTGCACTCAGGTGAAAATAATTTTGTTTTTTCTTTCCCAATTTTGGGTGAACATTAATATTTGTTTATTTATTTATTTATGTATTTTACTTATTTTTATTTATTTATTTATTTATTTTTATTTATTATTTATTTATTTTTATTTATTATATATTTGTTTTTATTTATTATTTATTCTCGAGCAAATATATGGAGTACAAGGCACTGTTTGGCACTCTTGTTCTGGAAAAACAAGGTAATGGAGGGTTAGTTATATGACAATGAAAGAGGGATGACATAGTAGACTTGTAGAGAGTACAGGAGGTGGTCCATCCCTATGTATTATGTTGAAGAGAATCCTGCATCATCACTTAGATAACTCCCGATTTATATTAGTGAATGATGGCTGGATTTGTCGGTTAGGTTATGTTGCATAATGTGACATTCAGGACATCACAGCGTGCCATCTATGAGCCCAACAATATGTTACGTCTGGGATTCACCGGTTCATGGATGGAACGAACGGAGGACTGACAGGTCTTTTTTCCATGACTACATAACCTGTTTAGATAATAAGGAGTGATGTAACATCCTAAGAGCAGAAACATGGTTTGGCTAGAAATAAAGTGAAATTTTGAGGGGAAGAAATAACCAGTGTGGATGAGCATTTGTGCATCAGAAGACTGTCTTAGTGTGAAGTAAATGTAAAATGTGACTTGTTCATTGCTGTGTAGCAGATTGTGTTATTGATTTTTTTTTATTGCAAAGTTTTCAAATCATATAGTTTTATGGCCTTTAGGATTATTTGACAAGTGACCTGGAACACCCCTTGGCAAACCCTTCCTTGCCCAGTATTGCAGTCTTGTTGGATTAGTTTCAATTGCTTCATACACAGCTACTTGTCCATTTGACTAAGATTGAAGAAGAAAACTTTGATTCTGATCCAGTGTCTACTTTGAAAGCCACCAACTCAGCTGGTACACTGTAACAAACCCCGTACTGTACTAGTTATCGGGATTTGAACCACTCGGTCACAAATTTGGGTTAGATACAGTACATCATTTCTTACACTTACATGCCTCTGGCCTGGTGTCAGTCTGTGTTTGCTATGTTCCCAACTAAGGCTAAAGTAAAGTAACTTCTTAGTTTCTTCCTTGTCCTAACATCCAGGTATTTAAAAACAGACATTATCATAAAACAATTGCCATTTATAGTTGGGGGTACTGGGTAACCATTACACTGGCAGGGTGACCTGTGCTCCAGAATCCTCATTTGGCTTAAATTATATCTGTATACTGCCATATCTTGGATCACTCCTCAATTTCAAGCAAAGGCCAGACCGAGTGAACACCTCTCCCTTGTCAACAAGTCTTGTCAGGAGCTAATTTTACCCTTTCATTATCAGTTTTTGGCTGTAGCTACAGTCATAAGTGTAAAGGGTGTCTTTGTCTTCCTTACTTTTATGTTGCAAGAGTGTTCATAGTTGCCTAATGACCTAGAGGGATGTTAGCCAGCTTTCAGGTATGGGGGAACATTTCATCCCTGGTGTAGTCTGAAATTACAGGATATTCTATTAGGGATGTTAAAGGGTGGAGTGCACTGAGTGGTCAGGCCTGCACACACCAGTCCCTTTCAAGAAATTATTATATCCTTTTTTAAGTTTTGTATCAAGGCATAGAGGTGTCCTCCAGGGGTCTGACAACCAGTTGATACCAGATTGAGTCATTCATTTTGTTACCAGTACCACTCAACTGTTCTGCTTGGGTTCTTGTCTTTCCAAGCCTATTTACTAATCTACCTGTTTGTATTGACATGAAGGGCCTGACTCTTTTTGAGTGATAAATCTTATATCAGACTGTGTGGTGCTGGAAGTGTCTATGGTTAGTCCTTTTATTACAAAGAACTTGCTTTCTAGCTGAGGTGCTTTAGTTGGTTGTTGTGAATCATGACCTCCATCCCATTTATAGATGATTTGGATTCTTTTGGGTCACTTGTCAAACCATAGTCCATAAAAAGGGATAAAAGTATAAATTCCCTTTTGAGGGTGAAGGGAAAAGAGAAGTGATCTGGAATCCCTTCCTTCACCCTTGGTGGGTTTCTTTGTTGTTAGGAAAAGGTGAGCAAGGAAATTTGAGATCCAAGGTTTGAGCGCACTGAACTAGTTCTATGCTCCCACATTCATCCCTGTGTATCTGCTGACTTATTGACTTTCAAAGCAGTTACCAGATCAGAGTCACAGCTTGCCTCATTTCTCTGTTTGCCGAGATGAGCAGTGGTTTATGAAGCAATTTACACGGATCCAACAGGACAGTAAACAAACGTAAGGATGTAGATAGTCCTCTGGACAAGACGAGCCCTGGCATGATAATCTGCAGGTCACTTGCCACTTCCCCATGGCCATAAAATAGTATTTCATATTTCAATCCTCTGTTTTATCGGTGCTCACCTTGGGCTTTACTGCTGTTGAACTTATAATGAAACTGAAATTGACACACATGGCAAATGACTAAACCTTCATAATTATTTTCAGTTTCTATCCTTAAATGGAAATGTTGAAGCTGAGGTTGAACTGTCCTCAAGGGAAACCACCTTATTGTTAACATAATTACCCAACAAGTAGACAGTGAAGACATCAGACAAGGATTTTTTTTCAGTCCATAGAATTGAAAGATGTTTGGAAACTATGTACATATCTTTTGGCTTTATTGTGGAGAATCATCAAGTCTCATTATATAATTGTAAAGACACAGAAAAGTTAGTTTTAGTATTATCCGTCATCAAGTCTCATTATATAATTGTAAAGACACAGAAAAGTTAGTTTTAGTATTATCCAAGGTTCAAGACTGGCTGGCTTTGATGGAAACATTGAACTTACTATTTATTGAACAGTGAACATATATTGTTATCGTCAGTCAGGTGAATTCACCTCTTGTCTCTGTGACACAGTGATTTTTACCAATACTGTACTTGGGTCATCTCAAACCTAGTTAATTACATTTAATTTTTATCAAGAAGTTTCATGGTTCATTCTAATTCAACAACATGCTGAAAGATCTTCAGTTAATGTAATGTAAGAATATAATTTTGGGTATTAAATGTTTCTGGTTGAGTTTCCTAGATAACCAGAAGTATTGGTCACCAAAATAAAAGAATTTGTAGCTGTTTAAGCAGTTTTTGTTTATTGTATTTTGATAAGTCTAATGTAGAATAATGTTTCAGTTTTATGTGCAAAGGTTATTTAGCAAATGGTTTTGTGCACATTGAGATGATAACATGATATTTAGGTACTATATTTGTAGTTTTTTTTAACATACTTTCAATGTTTTAAATGATATGATTGCTTAAGGCATGCTAGTTCAGGTTTTGATAATTTCACAAAGTATGATAGTGTAAAGATACCATTTTGGTTGGGAGTAATGTACATATATGTATTTCCTTTCTCTGCAGTATCATGTTCTACTACAGGGCAACCCAGGTAAGGTAATATCACAACAAGTTGCCAGTAGGGACAATTGAAGTAGTAATAGTACAGTAGTTGGAGGAGGAATACATTAGGTCACAACGAGTGTAAAACGTATCTAGAATGAAACAAAGGATCAGTTACGATGTGTGTATTCATGCTATTTACAGTTCATATCAGGTGTTGAGGCACAATACAGTTTTTAGAACCTGTGTGTGTGTGCATGTAAAGAAGACAACATTTATAGCGTGTCTGTGGGCCTTTAAATCAATGTCATGCCAACTGCAAAGTTCCTGAAAAATAATATAGATTCATTAACCGCTCTACCATAGACACACTATAAACAACAGTTATGCCAGCTTTGAACACCCTCATGTGGCTCCTCTGTGTCATCTTAATGTATGGGTGCCTGTACTGGACAGCAGTGTTAAAAGCAAGCAAAGTAAATAAGTAAAGAGTCTTTTAATAAATACCAGTCTACAAAAGCTAATAGAATTGCGCATGTCACTTTATATTCGTCATGTTGTGAAATGTCACTTGCATGTCATGTTAATGTCAAGAACTTTTAAAGGTCTAGGTAATTAATATTAACTTTTTTTTATCAGTAAGACATTCAGAGGAATATACAGTAATGACATTAATAATATCTCATGGCTGATTTATTTTTTATTTATTTATTTTATTTATTTTTTTTAGGGAGTCAAGATTGGAAACAAAAAAGGATCTCAAATGGCTTAAAAAACGTATGTTTTTTTCTAGTGAAGATGCTGTAAATCATATACGTAATGTAGGACATAGGATGCACCTAATACAGCATACAGTATATATATATATATATATATATATATATATATATATATATATATATATATATATATATATATATATATATATATATATATATATATATATATATATATATATATATATATATATATATATATATATTCTCAAATAGTAAAGATTGGAAGCTGTTGATTTTAATATCTGCTCAAACTTATAAAATGACATTAATGTTTCCTGATGATTTTTTTTTCAAGAATTAAAAGTTTATTATCAAGAAGGTAATAAATAAGTTTGAATCATGACTTATTTGGCATAATTGGGCTTCTAATTAATGCTGGATATTCTCTCCTGAGCATTTTCTTTGGATATTGGGCTCTATTTACATTCCATTATATTCCCCCTTAGGTGTAAAATGTATTTGTAGCCCAATGTCCCCTACGATATCTTGCCCGTCAATAATAATAATAATAATAGTTGTGGGTTTGATGGACACTATGTCATCAGAGACATTAAACTGACTTTCATACAATTACCTCATTTTTAGAGGCTGTTTTAACATGTACAGTTGAATTATGTTTTATGCATGCATGTTTTTTAATGAATGAACAAAATGTGTTCTTGAATGAATGTATGTTCATTATTTTTGGAAGATTTTTGAATGCAGTTTCTCTTCATTTAAAAATACAGAATAAAGTATTTTTTTTAATGAGCAAAAGGTTATACACACACATATGTAGTAATGAAGAGCCCTTTCAATTAACCCATTGACTAACTTCTTGACACCTTTAACGACTGTCACGGCTCATGAAAGTCAATTGGTTGTTGGTTGCTGAAACTCACATTACACACCTGACTGCCACCAACCAATCAACTTCCATAAATTGTGACAGTTGTTGAGGATGCCAGATGTAAGCAGAACTTAACCAATGAGTCAATGGTAAATCTCTTGTTGTGTTGTCTCAAGAATTCACTGAAGACAGTATAATTTTGGTGGTTAAGAAACAGAAGCTGAGGATGCTGGTAGTCTGTAGTGTACATTTATTTGGTCACCACGCCCACCAGGGTTGTTGGTCACATTTATTATTATTATTATTATTATTATTATTATTATTATTATTATTACTTTTCCTCATGGTAAATTCAACCTTTTTTATTATTTTAGAAATCCATCTCAATTATTTAAACATTATGGTGTGCCATAAGTTTGTGTTCATACATGTTATTGGATATTTAGTGGTTGTAATTTCTTGGAAATTGGTTAAGTTGTGCCATGACCTGAAATTTTTACATTTATTGTCATATATATATATACACATACACAATAATACAAATACTCAACCATACACATATAGTTACCCAGAAAGAAGGGTCCATCCTTTCTGATATATATGGTAGATGTACTGATATCTCCGCTAGCTGGAACAGTTGGTGCCGAGCACTTCCGGGAATGAGAGATTTCTGGGTAACGAGACGACTCTCTCAAAGCCAGAAAATATCCCCCATTCCCAGAGTTTTTCAGGTAATGGGAAAATTTTCTTGGAATCTTCCAGAATGATGCATTATTTCATCTTTCAAACCCGGAATAAAAATCCCCCTTCCTCACAATTTAACGGGGACCAGAAAAAAATTATCGGAATTATCGAGAAAATGTGCCCCTCAGAAAATTGGTCCCAAATTCGTAATTTTTTGGAAAATTTCGGCTTTGGGAACGATTTTCTGAAGAAAAAAAATCGATTCCGGCTGTCGGAGAGTTCTGGTTAAGAGGGATTCTGGCTTACGGAGATATTACTTACCTGACATTACCCATGGTTAGAAAATTTTGATAAATTATGAATTTATTTGGACAATAAATAACCCAGTTGCAAATCAAAAGTGTTTTGTATGAAATTGGAACATTGTTTTAAGGTTTGTGAGTAGAAAGTGCTGTTGTAATTTACACTACTTAAGTTTGTGAATTTGAAACTCAATTTTACACGAGTACAGTCACCCAAAAAAGTATCACAAACGTTTATATTTGTAACATGAAACAGCAAATTGAAACGCCAAATAAGGATATGAAATTCAGGATTGTGTCGGAAGCCTTAGGGCAACTCTTCACTCAGGGAATTTGTGATACTTTTTTGGTGGATGTACTGTATATACATGTTTTATGCAAATGGTGACATGTTATGCATTAAATATAGAGATGTATCACTGACTGTGAAATATAAGGGTGCCCATGCCATTAAGGGAAAAGTCAATAATCCAATGTATGATTTTTATTAATTTTACATACAGAAAACTCCATATTTTAATTGTTTAATAAGTTTTTTTTTTTAATGTTCGGACATTTAGTATGTGTAGATGTTGCTGATGCTATACAGTTGTCAAATGTAGAACAATGCCTCAAATCTTAAATATCCTGCTCTATGAGACCCAAACCATTTTGTATATAGATACGTACATGTACAGTAGCTAAAACAACTACAGTATATGTGCAAGTGGGGGTCGATATGTTCCAAAATTTTACGTGTGACTAGTGACAGCCCTCATATACCAATATTTATCATCCATGGTTTCATATTGTTTCCCACAAAGTGTGTATAGATAGTTGCTTTAGCTACTGCACATCCAATAAAATAATGAACATGATCTTGTTCACAGTGAGATACAAATACACCACCATACACATTCTGCAGCAAATTAGTGGACAAATCAGAAAGGCTGTCATGTTATTAATGCCTGAGTGACTGCAGCAGAACACACAACTGCAAACACAATAAGAAATACTACATCATTGTGACACAGTCCATAAAAAGAAATTAAGATTACAGTTATATATTAAGAATGAAAAAATTATATACAGTATAAAAGTGTACTGTACAATGTAAACAATGGTTTTAAATCATATTGAAATACTGGTAATATGATGGTTGATGATGGTATGTTAGAGGGGATAACTGGTGTTGTAGTCACTAATTATAATAGGTAAATACTCGTCACTTGTGGAGAGAGAGTATTTGTGGAGGGGGACATGGGGGGCAGTGCAGTGAGTGTGGGGATGGTGTTAAGTACCTCCTTCCACCACCCTCTCCAGCCATACTTGTTTACTTTTGTTTTTTAGTAAGAAAAGGGCATTAAATTAAACTGAAATGATGTGATGGTTGATGAGGATGTTGTATGTATGTGTGTTAGGGGGATTCAAAGGGAGGGAGTGGTGGTATCTTGGGAATGAGTAATTGGTTATATGTACAGTATTGACATTACTTGGTGGAGTGTGTTTCATTCAATGTATTTACGTGTGTGTGTGTGTGTGTAGGGCTTGTATGAGTGTACAGTATGTGGGGTTGGGATGGTGTCTTGTGTAGATATTTAATGTAGAAGTCAGTGCCATATTAGGGTTTTTATAATTTTATAATGAATATTTCCTCATAACTGCAGAGCCAAAAATTCAACCTTATTTTTGCCATATTGTGCATTGATCATTTCAGTGTTGATGTGGGTACCTGGAAACATGAATTTAGACTTCTACTGTATAACAAAGAATTCAGACAAAACTTATAGGTGTGGATGAATTGAAAGAGGGATTTTTTCTCTGATTTTGTAATGCCAGTAATTGATAGACAGCCTGGCGATGACAAACATTAGATTCAGAAACTTGTACTGTATCTTAATTCAGAATTGGGAAACACATTTGCTAAAAATGAGAATGTTGGAAATTTTCATTGTTTTTATTTTCAAAACCAGTAGTGGTTAGTTGTGTATTTCTTGGAATGTCAGGAAAAATCAGGAGATAAGCAGGAAGTTGATAAAGTTTGTTTAAGTTTATTTTAACTGTTTGTTTTGTACATTCACCTCTCAGATGTTTGTTTACCATTTTCCTTGTCATAGTTTAACGTACCCACAGTACAGATTTATGTAGATTTCATTTGGTGTGTGAAATGAAAATTTTATAAAATTGTGTTGCGAGGAGTAAGGTCTCTTTGAATACAATAGCTTGCAATGTAAACTAAATATCCCTGTGGATTTTTCATACCCCACTGTGTAACTTTTTTAGTATTTACAGAAATGGGGTTTTGGTTTGATAAAGAGACACAGGTTTATTAGTACATTACAGTACAGTGATATCTCCATTAGGCAACACAATTGGTGCTGAGCACTTCCGGGACCGAGAGATTTCCGGGTAACGAGACGACTCTCTCAAAGCCAGAAAAATCCCTCATCCCCGGAATTTTCCGGGTAACGGAAAAATGTTCTCGGAAGTTCCATAAATTGTGCATTACATCATCTTTCAAAGCCAGAAAAATATCCCCCATCCCAAAGCCGACAAAATTTAAATTCCGGCTATCGGAGAGTTCCGGTTAAGAGGGATTCCGGCTAACGGAGGTATTACTAGTTGTAACACTGAACACTGTTCAGTAATACATAATGTTAATTAATGTATAACATTTCACTATATGTATGAAATCATTAATACAATTGAACTCCAGCAAAATTTTATTGTTTAAATTACAGCAGTACAGTACATGACCCCCAGTCTGAATTTGTCATGACTGATTAGTGATCCAATTTATGGATATATTTTGATTATACAGTAAATCCTCGATAACTCGGCATGGATGTGTTCTCGGAATGTATTAGTATAACTCTGGGAAAATCTCGGCATATCTGGCCACCTGCATCGCCTACCATGCCTCTGTCACCCACCATACCTCTGTCACCCACCATGTCTCTGTGTCACCTACTATGATGCTTCATTCTTCGCCTGCAGTGCTGGTAAGTGTTACTTTTTTACATTTAGTAATTACATGTTCAACTGAAGACAAAAGTCGTGTCGTGGTTTTGTCCGAAGATTAAATATAACTCGTGAAACATTATGAGAGCCCTACCACAAGGCAGAGCACACCAAAAGTTTAGCCCTTTGGCATATGTTTTCACCAAACTTAGCGACACGACTTTTGTCTTTCATTGTACACATATATGGGTCGATAATTTTTTATTGTATTGTTGTAGGATGGGGGAAGTGCCTCGGTAAGTCAGAATTTGGGATAACTCGGCAAGGCCAGAGCCCCATGTGTGCCGAGTTATTGAGGGGTTTACTTTACTTCCCATACTGATGTGTTCCTGAAATAGGTACAAAAGCACTGTAGATTTGCTTAAACATTTAATAAACAAGCTTATCAAGGTCAGCCGATCTAGCGTCATATTTGCCAGTAAATGGTTCTGTGCTTGGGAATGCCCTCATTTGAATCGCTCTTATCATAAAACTTTAATGAAACTTCATATTGGCTTATCCTGTTGCTACTTGATACATGGTTTTGTTAACTACACCGTAATGCTCCTTCAGGTTATAAAATTTGTCAAATTTCAATTTTTTGCTGATTGGTAAGCGTACCATGGTTTCCCTTCACACCTCTATACATAACACCAACACTTAGGCAGAATAAGAGCAAATTCAACAAAAATAAGTGAATAAAACTTGTATTGAAAAACAAAAAAAAAAAACTCAGAATGATAAACACTCAAAAGAGGATGACAGTCGTAACAGCGCATTGATTTCAGGAAACTCTCTGGTAGAATTTAAATTTTTTTTGTATTTTCACATTTTTTTATTTTTAGACTGGAGTTCAAATACTGTACTGTACTTATTTTGTTAAGTAACCTCTAAAAGTGGTTGTGTTTTGCAACAGAAACCTTTTGATTTGCAGTGGGTATTTTTTATTGTTGAAATGAGCTCGTGTTTGACTAAAATTGATTTAAAGACAGTAAAGTTCAGGTGTTTATTGAATATTACCATGATTAGAATGAACTGAATTAATCTTTCAGGGTACTAATTATATATATATATATATATATATATATATATATATATATATACTCATAAGAATATTTGCTCATAACTGCTACCCTCGCCTAATGTAAACAAATATTGTGTGATCTAAGTTATCAGTATTCGTTTACAATGATAACACTTATGTATTAGTAGTTGTATTTTTTATTGCATAGGATATTTTATCATTAGTATTCATTCACCATTACTGTAAATGTAAAACTAAATTTTATTACCTCTGTTTCATAACCACCAACCTGTGGCACAGTTAGAAGCTATCAGCATATGTTTTCATGTATATTCTGGCATTTATAAGACCACTACAGCTCCCTGTTATAGCTTCTAAAGTTTTCATGGCTGATGCTTTTTTTTTATTTATTTATTATTATTTTTATTTTTTTTGCCTTTTTGGATGGAAAATATTGATTTAAGGGGAGAAAACCAATGTACTGTATTATTATTTGTGCTGGAGAGTAGGTGAATAAGCTTTGTTAAAGTACATTTCAAATGGAAAAAAAAATGTTAAAAAATAGTAATGATGCCACAAGTGTGCCTGCCTGTTAGACCCGAATTTTAAGTATTTTTGAAAGGGTATGTAATGTAGTTTAAGCAATCACAGACCAAATTAACAATAGAGCATTGTTTACAGTTGTACAAGTGTAACTACCAGTGAGATGAGTTCAAGTTTTCATGATCCGTCCTTTATTGAGAAGCTGTAGAATTGCGTCATTGAGTGGTGCCTAGAGTTGACAGTGTAGCGTACTTACAGAGCATTAATAACGGCCGGTGTAAAGAAAAGGTGACATCGCTTTCGTGCTTTATGATGAGCGCGAAACAGCCAAGGGCATGGTTGTCCGTGAACGAGGGCTGTAAACGAGCTTTCTTAAGGTGAGCAAAAGCACATCAGCAGTGTCATGCGTCTACTACCATGAGTTATTTTTATTTCTAAATACATTTATTGTCTTCGCTAGTGCATCATTAGATTGCAATTCTAAAGTGCATAAGAATTTCCTTTTATTGTCAAGCCACCTCAATTTCAAAGATGAAGAGCTTTTAAATAACAGGTTGTCAAGTTATTTGCACATTAAAAAAGCCTACTAGATTCTGGTCAGATTTCAGAAAAAGAGTGATGACTGCTGAGTTTCCCATTGGCATTAAAATCTGAATTATGTAGTGTGTGGAGATGTTCATAAAAGTACCTTTGATAAGGGTGTGTGAAGAGTGGTTGAAACATAACTTTGCCAAATGTATTGCTCAAAATAACTAAATTTTAACCACTATTTCCCTGTCATTATAGAACTTGCTTGTTGTTAAAACAAGGTTGGATCTTTTATAAAAAAATAAAACTAGATTTTAATGGCAATAACAAGTTAAATTAGTTGACATTATTTCTTGGGGTAATGTCAACTTCTTTTGTAGAAATGATCCTGTTTCTGCATCAGGGGTCAAAGAGTTAGTGGAAACATGAAAATTGTAAAATCTTTCCAGCAGATGCGACATGGCTAAAGCAAACAGTTTGATGTTGTGAGGCAGTGGAGTAGTTTTTAATAATAAGAGTTTTATAATGCAGATAGGCTTCTCTTAATGTATACCTCTTCAAAAATACAAAAATGCAGGGCTATGATTTTAAAATAAATTTGAGATTGCAATTTTTACCATGAATAATGATTGTTACTCATTTACTTCTCAGCAAACTGGTAGCTCAAATAGAACAAAGTAATTTTTTGTGTTCCAAAGAAATATGTACAGCCAAGCATGCTATTAAAAATTTGGTATTGCCCAAGTTGCGGTGGCCAATCTCGCCTCCCTGCGACTTAGAAGACTGACTGACCTTAGTAATGTTGACGGTTGAGTGAGATGTAAACTATGTCATACCCTTTTTGAGAGTGTTGAATCTTAGGCTATGTATTTTATGAACACGGTAATAAGACAACTGGAACACTAATTTGTTCTTCATTTATCCTACAGTGTGCATCAGATTCTCTCTAGGGTTACTCTGTAGTGTATATGTGTGAAGATAAACCATGCCTGGCTTTGGACGACTGTGGTCCCTCGATTTTCGCGGGGGTTAACGCTCCTGATATTACCGTGAAAGAGCAGAACCGCGAATACTCTTTTCCGGATTTTCACTTACCATGTAATATTCAATATTATGACCTATAATCTATCCCAGATCACTTGTATGGCCCTAAACGTGTTTCTAATGATCTGTAAACCTCTCTCCCTCTCACATATCATTAAATATCATGTAAAGACAACATAATAAAGATGAAAATAAAAATACAAATTATTTTATATAATACGTACCTAAAAAAAAAAATACAACGCATATGGAATACTGTACTGTACTCACCAGTCCAGTTATGTTGTTTCGTCATCTTGAACCTCCCTCCCAACTCTCTCCCTGGTACATCAAAGCATATGATGATGATGAATAAATGATTATCACCACTTTCACCATGGAACTGTGCATACAAAAGTTTACCATTCATCCCGGATGAATTTAAAGTCGAACGGTGTGTGGTGGCGGTTTAAATCCTCTATATAAGTGTTCAGCACTTTTCCTGTTTCAATCAGTGCCGGATCTCTCGCACGTTGTGTCACCATTGCTGCTGCTGGCGCACTAGCATCAACGATGTCTTTCTCTCCCTTTTTTTTATTAGTGAACTGTTGATTTGTTCACCCCATGTGCTCCATTGCATGCCGCATAGCTCATGCTGCTCTCAATTTTCTTTATTATTTCAACTTTCTCGAATACAACACTTTTTCTTTTAGAGGGACGTTTTGGAGCCATGATGGGATTTTATGAGAACGAAACACAAAGGTCGCAGTGAGATGTATACACAGTATGATGGGACGTGAGTGAGACAGAGGCAAAAAAAGGGGCAATTAGAGTGAAAAGGGTTATTAGGACGAAAAAATGGAAAAAGGAGCAATTAGGGCAAAAAAGAAAAATTGGAAAATGTTTCTGAACTCAAGGTATCTTCACAAAGTTTATCAATATATATTTTCTTAATATATTAGTAAAGAATACATGTGCCTTAAAAACAATAAACATTGTACAGGTAAATACATCGCTGCTTAACTTTGATAGCCACCTTGACTACTTATTAAGGGATGCCAATAGTGGTAAAGTAATTTTCCAAGGTGTGTGGTGCAGCAGTCAGTGAAGTATGCATACATGTCAAACTCATTAATGTTGAAGTAGACATTGACCCAAAATAAAAATATCTCTAGTTTTACATTTTGAAAAATTAACTAATTTTTTATTTTTAGTGAATTACACTCAAGAAACCCAAGTTAAAAAAACTAAATAAAAAAATTATCACCCTCTTCTAAATACAAAAATGTATATTAAAATAATTATGTCCAGTAAACATCCAAAGAAGAATTGCAAACAATGACTTGATTGGAAACTGACTTTAAATTTGCTACAGGTACTTATTTTCAGTTATTCCAAGGAAAGTCAGATACTGGATAATCTTGCCAAAATGGATATGCAGTGTGTTCATTAGAATGCTGGTGTGACCAGGGGCTGGTAGAAGCTTCCTCATGTACATTACAAGGTAAAGGAAAACTAGAATATGTATTCATATGGTAGTCATGGGTCCTGGAAGTTTGCTGAGAAGGGAATTGGTAATTATGTGTTCTGCTCCTAAAATCAGACCGTCGTGGGGCTCCATGGAACATTGCATTCTGATCATCTCCTGCACAAGCATTTAAACTTTGTCTAAATGATGTACTACTGTTGCTTACCCATGGGTTAAAGTTTTGGATGGTTGCATCTTGAACTTGGGTGATTCTGTTCATGTTATGTTGAGAGAAGTTCACCGGCTGGGGATGGGAACCACCAGAAAAGTTCATCTGCTGGGGATGGGAACTGCCAGAAAAGTTCATCTGCTGGGGATGGGAACCACCAGAAAAGTTCATCTGCTGGGGATGGGAACTGCCAGAAAAGTTCATCTGCTGGGGATGGGAACTGCCAGAAAAGTTCATCTGCTGGGGATGGGAACTGCCAGAAAAGTTCATCTGCTGGGGATGGGAACCACCAGAAAAGTTCATCTGCTGGGGATGGGAACCACCAGAAAAGTTCATCTGCTGGGGATGGGAACTGCCAAATAAGTTCATCTGCTGGGGATGGGAACCACCAGAAAAGTTTGCTCTCCAAGTCTTTTTTTTGTTTTTAACTCTAAAGAGCTTCTTTTTATTAACTGTAGAGGGTTTCTTTTTATCTTCTGTTTCATAACAAGGAGCTCTAACTGGAACTGGAGAAGAAAATTATCTTTAAAATCAACTCTGCACAGAACACCCCACAATAATCTTAGGTGGTGCTCAAGACTAAAACCCATTAACTTAATAGAAATGATTTACTAGATTTTACGGACAAAAGCAAAATAACATTACCCTGCAGTCAAATGATCTCTTAATTGAATCTACGGACAGTCATCATTCAATTTTGTGTAGCATCTTGAAATTGCGAAGACTACAAATCACTGAATTTTGTCAAACTACAATACCCCTTAACCTACTACATAATTATGTATTGTATCAGATGCAACATTTCATCATAAATCAATGCTACACTATATAATACCAAGATAGCTTTAATGCTCTCTCATCCATTAAGCTCTTCAAGGTCTTCTCAACTCCACATATTCTTTTCACATCTTCATCCTTTAAATCTTTCATACTCCACGATTAGCTATTTCATGGTGATTCTCAGTACAGTACCAATGTTATGAGCAATATTAAAAGAATAACCTTCACACACAATCCGTTACTGTTTCATCACCTAACAGTAAGTAACTAAGAAAATGTAATAGTGAAATAAGTATAAATAGTCAACAATGCAGGAGGGGGTTTTGAGAATTGCAATTAAATGCCAGGTAGCGACATGTCCTCCTAATATTACGTATTTAAGTAATTATTAGATGTTTTAATTGCCTGTATGTATAAAGCTAGACGTCGCATTCTGGACTAAACAAAAGTAGCCAAATTGTATAGGTTTTACCATAAGAGTAAAATAGTAACAAATTAGATTGGAAAAAGCTTACATACTGTACATACATACAGGTGCTGCACAACATTGATATTCTCACAAACAAACCTCTGGTGCTTTGCTTCTTTACTTGTTGTTGGCTATTAACAGAGTCTCCTAAGGAAGTTCGGGATTGCTTTTTGGGTCCCTCTTCTTGTGACTTCTTCTGTAAAAACTCATGAATCTTCTGGTCTAGTTTAATTTCTCCCTGAGAAAGAATTGAGTTGTTTGTTCATTCTGTATTAACACCACACTCTTAATCTTTCAACAGAATCTAATATTATCATCAGTTTCAGGTGTGTGTGTGTGTGCATGTTTAACTGTGTGTGTGCATGTTTAACTGTGTATGCACATGTTTATCTGTGTGCATGCATTTATCTGTGTGTGCATACATGCATCTGTGTGTATGCATCTGTTAGTGTATGTGTGTGCATAAATGTAAGTGTGTGTGTGTGTGTGTACGTACAGTACTTGTATATGCGTATGTTGAAATTAAAAGTATTTCATTCCTTACTGTTTATTAAGTACTTTTGATGCCTTACCTTCTCCTCCAGTGATTCTTCTTTAATACGCCTTTCAGCATCTTGTACATAAGTTCCGGTGAAGTTACCCGGCAGTGGTTTGTCCCAACACAGAGCTAACACACACCAAAAAATATTCAAGTCAAGTTAATAAGCTAGAGTTCAAACTTTTAAAAATAATGTTGGGTTGTCATATATAAAGTATTACTGCACATCTATTTTACCTTTCAATCAATAATACCTAATTGTCAACTAAATATGGGCCAATTGTTGCTCTAAACTTTATAAGAAAACAAATACAGTACATAAAGAAAACTACAGTACTAAAAATTCACTAAAATTCAATATGGGTCACAACCTCCACATGACACCATTCATGTAGCTAACAAAGTTGTTTGGCCAGTATGACTTAAGTCGCCATTAACTTTTTCGGTGTCACACTTGGCACATTGCCTCTCCAGTTTGTGATACTAAGTCATTAACATGACACACCCCAGTAACTTAATATTTCAGCTACATAACTAAAGTCTAGCAGGAGTGTACACTGCCAAGTTAGTGCTTACCTGTGCTACTAATATGTTAGCAAATCCTCAAGCTGGGTCATGTAAAAACCCTTCTAATATCTAATCCATGTAAAATTGAACTGGGGTCACTGTGATTTTGGCTTGGCGTGCTACAGTTACCACAAGACTCCTCAGTCCTAGAAACTGATGTCTCACAATACAACCTTTTGAGGCCTATGCTGGCAGTTGGAAAGAGTTTCAAATTTGAAAATTTTTCTGAATTAGTTGTTTATTTTAGACACGTCTCATTTAGCACTATTAACTCACCATGGCCTCCTTTTATAGTTTTCATCCATTTCTCTAACTGCTATGACATACAAAGAAACTACTTGATGATACCAATTTCTATTGATGGTCTGCTACTTCCTTCACTCCATCTCCTCTACTTCTAGCTCTTCCTTCACTCCATCTCCTCTACTTCTAGCTCTTCCTTCACTCCATCTCCTCTACTTTTAGCCCTTCCTTCACTCCATCCCCTCCTTGGTTTTCTACCATTCATCCACACCCAATTTACACACTTTTTACCAATCTTTCCAAAAGTAATGCAGTAACTCAATAATACCTTACAACCTACTGTAACTATATGAACATCCTACAGCAAATAGTATTGAAAAAACAGATGATAAGAGACTTATGACTCACCTGTGTGTGTGAGGATTAAGTTGACCATATGTCTCACTGCTACAGGCTCCCAGTGCAAGCCATCACTGGCTCGCCTGCAAAATACCATCAATAAACCTATCTTGTATTCCAGTTACAAATTGTTATTGAAACAAATGCAGAAACATTCCGAGGATGTGCAATAGTGTCTCTATGTGCAAGATGCATTGTTTAGACTCCCTGAAATATGTACAGTGCTGTACTGTATTACACTAGACTTATTGCAATTACACTACAGGATAAACTTAGTTTCACTAAACTGAAATTTTATCACATAAAACTTTGTACTGTACAGTAGTTACTATTTAATAATTTAAATCACTGCTGAATGCTGTCACATTATCCGGCAGTTCGGGTGTCATATAAAGATCAAAGTCTGAGACTCGTGACTTGGTAGGCCCTTTAGCACCAGAGGGTCCAGGCTTGTCAACTGCTTCACTCTCAGAGGAGAATGAAAGGGGAATAAAAAGTGTGGATGAATCACTGCTGGTAGAAACACAGTGCCTTTTAGGCTGCTTGGGTAGTGGTGAGACACTTTGACTGAGCCCGACTTAGCAGTAAATCTGACTTACAGAAGTCCAATTTAGAGGAGTTTTACTGTACAGTAGACCCTTCCCATTCACGGGCTTATGATTTGCAATTTCGGTGATTCTCAGTAAGCAGCTGGTGGCTCGGGTGGCTAGCATGCGAGCCTTCTCCAGCGGCGCAACGAGTCACTCACTCGCCCAGGCGTCTCATCTTGCTCTGTTTGCCTTCACCCAGTACCTGTGACCTAGCATCCCGTGTTATACTCTCACCAGGAAATGTTTAAAGACCTCAAAACCAAGAGGAAACAACTACCAATTGCCATGTTTATCAAGAAAGAACCAGCTACTACCGCTGCTGCTCCACCCTCCTCTTCCTCCCAGCTACGTGCCACCTCCAGGTCGTGCGTCGCTCCACCACCACCACCACTGATTCAATCTTCTTCCACCAGTGATCCTGATGATCCACCTATGCTTCAGTAACCAGATGTCTCCCTATGTACAGTGCACCACTTCATCAAGCTTCAGACTTCCACATATGAATGTAAGTACAGTATTGTGACTTAAGTTTCTCATACACAGTATAGGTTTTCCTGTACATTAGTGCACTAAGGTATTATAAGTGGCTATTCGCGGTTTTGCCAATTCGCGCCATTTCTTGGAACCTATCCTTCGCAAATGGCAAGGCTCTACTGTATATATATATATACTGTATACATATCTTAACATAGATCTCACTTCCTCACTTCTGTTACTGAAGATACTAAATGCAGGATCAAAACACCTGAGGGCTCCTTACTGAAAACCATCTGAGGGCTCCTTACTGAAAACCATGAGACATACAGGTAGTATATTGTAAAACACAAGAGTAGTTCCTCACCAGTGCAATTGAAATCGCATATGATAGTGGAGGTCTAGTAGGTCTATTTCAAATGACATACACAATTGCTGGGCGAATTTATTGGCTTCCAGGATTATAAACCGCATACTGTGTTTCATGAACTGTATCTGCAAGCAACATCAGATCATCATAAAGGGACAAGGACTAAGGCTTCTATTCTGTAACTGTATGTCCATGACTTCATTTGCTTCTCTTAACCCTTAAACTGCAACTACAGGAAAACCATATTCATAATTATTCATATTTATACCAATAAAATTGTGGTGATGAAAAGATGTAATAATGTATACAGTGCCATACAAATTACAGCAAACAATATGTATGGCTGACATGTGTTTGTACTTTTTCTTTCATGTTTTATTAAATTGGAAAAAAAAAATGCCCCCATGCGGAGATTCGATTCCAAGTGACCTTTAACCTCACCTGCTTGATGAAGACTCCTCCCTTGATTTTTTCTGTTGAGACAGGTAACGTTGTCGTCCAAATGATCAAAGTATCATCGGGTAACAAACGACGCAGATGTTGGAATAAACGCACCATGTCTTCCTTGTACTGGTCTTCCTGCATAGCTCCCCACCTACACAAGAAAGATTCAAGTACAGAATTAGGAGCTTATTAACATTATTTCTGATCTTACGCAGTTTAAATGACAATCCAGACTTAGAGGACAAAAACATAGTTTAATCTTTGTTGACTAAATGCAAAGTAGAGTCTTTTTTTTTATTTGAGAAACCTGAATGATTACTATATTTTAGGTTGCTGATACATAACTGACGTTTTAAATTTTCTAATTACCGTATCTTTGATTATTTCAAATGTCATTAATTAACAATAATTACTCAAATTTTTAAATTGTTAACCCAGAACCTTAATCAGCATGTGAAGTAGTACCTTTGCATGAAATTTGAACAAAATCCATGATATGACCTTAAGTGCCGAACACAAGATCAGGCATATTTTTTACATCAGATGACAATGTTTTGGAAAGAGAAAACTAACGTGTTTATATAGAAAAGACAGTCTGTATTTTTACTTTTACCCTCTTTGCCACTGATCGGCTCGTCAGCCGCTTGGGCGATCGGTCACGTCTCTGTTACGCACTGTTGGCAAGTACTGGGCATGCACCGGCTCCTGAATGTACCTGAACTGCTCTAGTGTTGGTCAGGTTTTAAGGAAATGTATATAAAGGTTTATAAAGTCACAAGTAAATACTGCTTCTCCCACCATTCACTCATTCTTACTGCTGCATATAACTGATGTGTTTTTCTCCTACCAAAACAAAGCCCTAAAATTCTAATATTCTGAAAATAAATAACAGTCACTTACCACAATAAATCCCAGAAGTTAGTTATTATAAACTCTAGTCTCGTGCAATGGAAACCCAACCATTTTGATTCACTTACCTGGTAATATCCCAGAGGCAGGAATTTACTATTACAACATGTGGTATGGGAATTGATCCATCTTCAATAGCTGTCAACTCCTTCTTAACTACGGAGGAGTACACGCGTGTTAGGAAGTGAAAACGGACCAAGGTATCATCATCCTGGTGGTCAGATTCAAGGGTTACTATCACAAGATTACTAGATTACTAAATATTCAGTCACTTTTCATTTATGCAAATATTAACACACAAATAATAATAATAATTAATATTTTGGCACTTTGACCAAGGTTAGCTGACAAAGCCATGAGATGCTTATTTCCAGACCCGATAAAAGAGTAAGCAGCCAATTACTTGTGGTGTAATGAAGTCTACAACATTGTGATGAACAAATAACACAAAGTCAGGACCCAATCTTATATTAAGTATTAATATTCTTACTGGAAAATGGTTAGGTGTGTAAACCATGAGATTACAGTGGTCTAAATTCAATTTCACTTGTAAGAGACTAAAACCTTTATCTAAGAACAGATTCACAGGAGGGAGGAAATATGCCATACTGTATAATAATGTCAGACCAGACTGGTAGTTTAAGATACAGTAACTTGAAGTAAATTTGTTTTAGAAGTGTCTGATATAACCATTTTAAAATATAAAGGATTGATCCTTTTATAACAGAGCAAGGGAGATGTAAGCATGCAAAAGGCACAGCAAATGACTAAACAGATATTAATTTATGTTAGGACCCCAAACACTCAAGGCCCCAAAATAATTCTAAATTTGAGTCTAAAGGCTTAACAGTAGCTACCTTATATTGTCGTGTTTCAACATAATCTCGTCCAGCTCTATCATTCTGAGATATGTCGAGCACCTCATCACCACAATGTGAAGCTCTCTTCTGTAATAATAAAAGAACGACATCTATAGTGTTTTAGACCAGTGGGTGAGAATTAATGTGCAGGGTGTGTTGGTGTGTGTCCCTTATACTTTTATCTTGTGGAAAAACGTTTTTGAAGATTATAAATTATTATTCTACACTCCTAAAACCCACAGAAGTAATTATAATCTACTGAGTCTCGTATACTGTATGTTACAGTAATGCTGGGTAATAAAAATGCTTCCTCATACATACAGGGCCTCCTCGACGGAAGGCCTGAGATGGTGTGATGTCACCCTCCACAAGCAGGCGAATAAGATCTTTATAAAATGCTCGCATATCTGAAAAAGTAAAAGCAATAAGACAGACCAAAGGCTTAATGAAAACAGCTCCCCCCAAAAAATCCATCTTATCTATCACCATAATATTCTGAAAGTAAAATTACGTAATTCATCTTTTGGAAGGCCACTATTTAACAATCACCCAGTACCCTTAACCCTTTGAGAACGATCATTTACATAATATTACATAATTGGCCAAGCAGACCTAAAGTAGCAGATACACAACATAACGTGTCGTCGTTCTATCGTTAGCCATCGTTGAAATTTCTGTCGTCTTGTTAATGGTCACTGTTAGGTCATGGTAGCGTACTTCTGGTCACCATACACAACTACAGTACAAGTAACATGTCTTTTATGTGTAGCTCCACGTATCTCTAATGATGCATAATATTATGAGTTTCTGCCTAGTATAAAAAAAATTACTGCCTTTATTTCACCACTATAATATAACAAACTTCTACCTATATCTCACCTCTATTATATAACAAATTACTACCAAAATTTCTACTGTATATTATATATCACCCATATTACTAAGTACACAAAGTTCTGAGTTAGTTTAATGCATATCTTATGAAACAATTTAGACAACAGTTTACAATATGACTTGTACAAATCTATAAAACACAATGTTATGAGTTGGCCACAACCAATAACCCACATACTGTATAGTTATTGATTATTCTGTGGAGAAATGTTGGCTTGGTGGAACAGGTGAGATAGAGGGGTACTGTAAAAGGAAGGAAGTAGTGAGTGAGGGAGGGAGGGAAGGAAGGAAGGAATGTAGTAGGAGGGAGGGAGGGAGGGAGTGTAGAAATGAAGGAAGGAATGTAATAGGGGAGGACAGTGAAGGAAGGAATTAGAAAATGTAGAGAGGAGGTAGAGGGGAAGAAGATGGAGTATTGACTAGGGGGGCAAGAGAGAGATGGTGACAGCACAGGCCTCAAACTTACTGGAGTCTCCCATCATTAGTACCACTTTCTTCTTCAGTAGGCTCTTTGCATCCTCACGACTGAATATGTCTGCCATGATGACGACTCCTCAGTTGTTTACTCTGACCTCTACCTATAAAGAATGACCAGGAATTAGCAACCATTAGACACAAACCTCTTTTACCATACTTAAGGTCTTAGAATATGTTTCACTTACTCCATTGTTGTGTTCGTGTAGTAAACTCCCATTATATCATTGCAATAATAATATTACTCCCCAAAATGGAAGACATAACTTCTTATTAACCCTTAAGGGCCTGCAGACACCATACCCAGTCTACTTTGTGAGGACTTTGTTTTTGAGTGGGCATTTGCCAGTATCTATCAGTCAATTGATTCACAGCAATTTGGCAATATGAGGACCTCCTCTACATCACACTGCTTGGTGAGCTTTCTGGATTTTCTGCACAAAAACTTGCAGAAACGTAAGACATCACTGGCCGTTGCCCTTGTGGACTTCAGGAAGGCCTTTGACCTTGTTGATCACTGCACTGTTATCAACAAGGCTATTGCACTAGGGCTGCCCACCAACCTGGTCTCATGGCTCACTGTTTTCTTGAGTGGACGTCGCCAAGCAGTGAGGTATCGGGGCTTGGTCTCTACATTCCAACACCTCACCTGCGGTGTTCCCCAGGGGACCAAGATGGGACCACTGTGCTTCCTCATCCTGATCAACGACGCTCTATCAGACACTCCTCACAGGTGGAAGTACGTGGATGACTGCACTGTGGGGGTTTCAGTGGACAACACCGCACCAGACTACTCATCGCTCCAAGGCACCCTGGACAGGCTACAGGCATGGACTACGGAGAACAAGGTCACCATCAACCACACCAAAACCTTAGTCATGCACATCAATACCGCCACCACTCCAGTGCAAGCCCCAGCAGTCACAGTGGGTGCCCATCCTCTCCAGCTGGTGCAGTCTGCCAAACTCCTGGGTGTAACTATACACAACAAACTTGACTGGAAGGCCCATGTAAATAACACAGTCAAGGCAGCCTCGTACCGTCTCTACATGCTACGAAGACTTAGGTCACTTGGGACACCCACGCCAGAGCTGAGGACCATCTACAACGCCTTTATTCTCCCCAAACTAACGTATGCGTCACCAGCCTGGTCGTCTTCTCTCAACTCCACCCAACAACATCAGCTAGAGAAGGCACAGAAAAGGGCCTGCAGAATCATGCTCGGCGCAGAATACTCCGGCTACACCAACGCTCTCTCCAGTCTGGAAATGCCATCACTCAGTGACCTCCACCACCAAGCACTGGAAAGGTTTGGCCGTGGACTACTGCACCACCCTTGCCATCGCCACCTCCTGCCACCTGCAGCCCCCCACCCAACTCGCGCAGTCCACCACTACAACAAAATTCAGCCCATAAGAGCCCGCACCGATAGATATAAGAACAGCACCATCCCATCTATTGTTAAAATAATAAACAACTCCTGATTTATGCACTGCACAGCCCTGTAAATGTATTCAATGCATATTATATCATTATGTCTAAATCAAATGTAAGTCTATATATTTTCAGCCACCGGCTGCAACTCTATTAATAAACCGTTTATTATTATTATTTTATTATTATTAAGTTAGGTTAGGTATGCTCCATCCTGGGAGGGCTTTGCACATAAATATAACCACCTTCTAAGGGTTAATAACAGTACTGTAGGTAAGATTTGGAATTTTCCCAATAATTTGACATAGTTACTAGTTTGGGGGAAACATGTGAACCAACAAACCCTACTGTACTTAAATAACTTAGGATTGAAGTATATTATTATTATATTGAATTACGATTAGGGTCATGTAGGCAAATGACAAACTGATACTTCATAAAGCAGAGAGTTTGAATGTCAGTGTGTAATGTGTTTGTCAATTGTCACACGCAAAATAACATCAAAGCAGGTGTATGGCAGCAGCATCTGTCATTATTTATGGGAAAAACTATGGACAAAAACCAGAATAGAAGTGTTAGTCATCCACCCAAATTACTTCAGCCTGGAGGTAAGAAATAAGTATTCAGTAATTATTCTGCAAACACTGATAAAATATAATTATGATTTAGACTCGTTTACCATTGTTTGCAGAATATTAATCATGTTTTTTCTTAAAGGGATTTTTTATTTGGTGATTATCCTTAAATATAATCCAAAAATATTTCCCTTCCCTATTCTTTGTTCATCTCACCAAAAAACATTAAATATCTGTGGAGAAATGTAGGTTCACGCCCTCAACCTCAGGTAGTTACTCTTTGTTTTTTAAATAAATCTCATATTTTGTAAATTAGCTGTTAAGAGGATCATTTCAAAGCATGAATTAACCCGTTCACAACAGGGATGTCACTCGTTAACGGGAGACGACTTTAATCACCACAGAGGGGATCCCAAACCCAAGTGGTTAAAGGGCGCCAGGTACTGTACCCCAGACGTGGCTAAGGGCGCCAGGTACTAGACAAGAAGTGGTTAAAGGGTACTAGACAAGAAGTGGTTAAAGGGTACTAGACAAGAAGTGGTTAAAGGGCGCTAGGTACTAGACAAGAAGTGGTTAAAGGGCGCCAGATATAGTGACCATCAACAGTGGGGGTGACAGAGTGGATTATAACAAACTGAAATACCCGGATTCTGCAGAGGACAAGCCAGGAAGGCTCAGCTGATTTACCAACTCACCAACCAGGGCAAATGAGCTGAGACCTTGCCATGCTGAGACCATACACAGGATTAACTCAGGTATATATATCGAAGGACTTAAAGAATACTTGAATAATATACTCAAAACTTACCGTCATAAATAAGTACGAGAGATCACCAGGAGAGGCCAGTAGACCACGAACAGCTGTTATTTAACTAAAGTCAACACAGCAATAACTCAATCGGGTCACTCCTTTACAGTCACCTTAACAGTCAATTTTCAGCCCACCGCAGTAAAGAATTCTTGTTGTATATATTTCTTTCTGTGCCTCAATAATTAAAGTTTTAATATATTTACTCTTGGTAACTCCTGGTGTAAGATAACAACCAGAAAAAAATAGGGATAATAAATCTTCCGAAGAGCGTTGGCACTTGTACCTACTTCATGTTTTCTTTGTCTTTAACTTGACAGAAAAAGAAGAAATCACTGTCTGTACACATTGATGATTAACGTTTGGATAATTAAATGTGATTAATTATAGTATTATTGCATTTAAACATCCAAATACAATAAATGTCCTATCTCACTTGATCTTCAAAATGTCTCACTGCAACTTGTCAATCTTTCTACTAGTCTCCCGCATCCTTCCCACCATCACATGACCTCACAATCCAAGTTCCTATTTTAAATTTATGGTGTCTTATTCTTATGCTTTCCAGATTGTTCTTTAATGACTCTCCACAGTCCATACGCTGCCTCACACTCAAGTAGCTGTGACACACTCGTGGTTTTCAGATTGATTTGTTAATACCTGTACTCCCTATTATTTGTTATTGTATATCACAATATTTTTGCTGAATGTTTTACTCATAAGCAGACTTAAAGTGTGGAGGGAGGGGAGGGGGGAGGTACACGTCCCTCCAGGGCCGGATTCAGGAGTGGGCAAAGTGGGCAGCTGCCCAGGGGCCTCCACAATCAGATTCAGATTTGCCCCCGAGGGGGCTAGTTTATTGGGCACCCCCTAACATCCTGTGCAAGGTGAAGCGCAGAAGCGTTTACAGCGCCCAACAGGGAAGTATGAAAAGTTCATACTTGCCTTTATGACTCGTACATTAAGGGCGTAAAAGCCTGAAGGGTCATAGGTTCTGTCAAGTTACATAAAGTGAGAGAATGATGAGTGTGTGGGGGGAAAGTTCCCGGTACATTTTATCTGTTTATGGCAAAGAGTGGCAGGTCCCTAATAATGTCAAATGCCAGGCCTGTGACTAGGAGGAGGGATATCTGGTCTGGGAGGGAAGAGGTGTTGGTAACGGCTGGGGACCTGTAGGAGGAGGTCATAGGGCAAGTGAGGATGTAGTGAGAGAGGATGTGAGAGTCGGGGGGCCTCCACAATCTGAGGGCCTCCACATATTACAATATTTTATTTATTTGTTTATTCATTTGGATTATTTTCATTTTTATTCTTTAAAATTCATGTTTATCTATTCCATCACGTACAACTATGTTCAGCAAGAGGCGTGGTAGAAATTAGGCTAGCTACTCCTTGAAATTCATCAATACATGGTTTCCTATGAACCGTATATTTTTAATGAATGCTATTGTTTGTGTTGCTAATAATATATTTAGAATTCCACAAACATATATTGATTAAAAATGAACTACATGGAATAACGAAATTGAGATTAAAAAAAACAAATACAATATTTTTTTTCATTATCACTTCCATTACGAATGCCATCAGGGCGCTGTGTTCTAATTTCCTCAATATAACTGCATATGGCTTCAAAATTCTCCAAAGAAGTGTTCAAATTTCAAAATTTTCTCAGGGGGCTTACAGCGCCCCGGAATTCCCAGATGTTTAGGCTCGCTTCACTCGCCACCCCACCCTCTTGGGTAGTTATAATGAGGGGGGCCTCCACAAAGAGGCTGCCCATGGGCCTCCACAGGTCTAAATCTGGCACTGTGTCCCTCCCACTAATTTCTTTCTGTTGTCTATTTTCCCTTCACGAGATCCATTTTAAAAATAATAATTTATTTTTCCATCTCAAGAGTCTCTTCATATCCTCAGTTCAGGTTAGATTAAGTCAGGGTGCAACAAAAATAATAATCGATTTTATTATTTATTACCAAATAGTGAAAAAGGCAAAGTTCAAAATACAAAATTTTCAGAGACGTAAAGAACGATAAACCTCACGCCTAGACATTCAGAAATGCTTTTTTTTTTGGGTAAATCTTCCAGAATTCAGCTCCATGTACACGTCAATAAAGATCCTCTCTGAATTCCCAAAGATCCGTAACTTAACGTATCCCTGGTAACTGAGGGTAATAGAACGCATTTTGTTAGAGTTGAATCTCAGAGCAACTTTGACTTGTTTTGCCCGTCATCTTAGTATGGTAGCTTTAATGTCAGCCAAATGATCAGTTACCAAAGAAACTTAACTTACGAGTCTTAAAGCATCATAGTCATACCCTCGGTTCTAGCCCTGATAGCCTCGCTGATTGTAGCCTGTGGAGAAACAAATTATTATTATTTACTAGTGATTAATTTATTTAAGACATCTAATAATGTGGTTGGTTGGCTGTCAATATTTGGTAGGTATTATTAGAGTTTGATACTGTACTGTATAATACACTCACTCACCTACAGTCTCTAGTTGACATGGCTGCGTCACCGTGATGTACTGCTGCTCGTACTGTGTGGTGGTCACGTACTCCGGCACGGTCTGCGTCATGTACTGCGACACCGTCCTCGTCTGCGTCAAGTATTGCGTCTGCTGCTGCGTGTGCGTTAGAATCTGGGGCTGGTACTACAGGAGAGAGGAGGCTGGGTTAGAGGTATGTTAATTTTTTCTACGTGTTGTGAACGGAGCTGACAAAATATCCACAATGCACTGCAATATTTACACTTTGGAAATGCTGAAACTTAGAATTTCTTGACAGTTATTAATTATTACTGATTACTTTGGCTCTGGTATAATATTGTAAGTTTTTATAATATATTATTCACGGATACAATACTAAGAGAAGGTTCATTAATACAAGTTTGGTCAACAACACATGAAGAAGGTCGACTCACCCTGGTCGTGTACTGTGTGTTGATGTGGTAGAGAGTCGTAGAGATGAAGTTGGTTTGCGTCTGCGTGGTTGTCACATACTGAACCTTCGGCACACACGTCGCCTGGGGCTGGATGGAGATACAATCACCCTGAACTAAAAAACTGGCTGTAACTGATGCCGTATAGGGCTGGATTCAGGAGTGGGCAAAGTGGGCAGCTGCCCAGGGGCCTCCACAATCTGAGGGCCTCCACATATTACAATATTTTATTTATTTGTTTATTCATTTGGATTATTTTCATTTTTATTCTGTAAAATTCATGTTTATCTATTCCATCACGTACAACTATGTTCAGCAAGAGGCGTGGTAGAAATTAGGCTAGCTACTCCTTGAAATTCATGAATACCTGGTTTCCCATGAACCGTATATTTTTAATGAATGCTATTGTTTGTGTTGCTAATAATATATTTAGAATTTCACAAACATATATTGATTAAAAATGAACTACATGGAATAACGAAATTGAGATTTAAAAAAAAATAAAAATATTTTTTTTCATTATCACTTCCATTACGAATGCCATCAGGGCGCTGTGTTCTAATTTCCTCAATATAACTGCATATGGCTTCAAAATTCTCCAAAGAAGTGTTCAAATTTCAAAATTTTCCCAGGGGGCTTACAGCGCCCCGGAACTCCCAGATGTTTAGGCTCGCTTCACTCGCCACCCCACCCTCTTGGGTAGTTGTAATGAGGGGGGCCTCCACAAAGAAGCTGCCCATGGGCCTCCACAGGTCTAAATCTGGCACTGACGCCGTAGTTAAGCCATGTAGAAAACATGACACCTGATTCCGTTCTCAGGCCCGGATGGAGAGGTACTGTACTTAGCTAGTCTGGCAATGAATTGTGGTCCGTAGACATAATGTTATCTCCTAGCATTAGGATAGGACACTGACTTATCTAACCAAGTATCTAAAGCGAAGAATGCCCGTCACTTCTCTTCCTAAAAAGTGTGTAATACTCCCACTATTAAGACTTTTCAACACTATTACAGTACAGTACTTAGATTATTCCACAGTCAGACCTTCCATAGCGAGAGTTGCTATCTTATGTAACCACTTGTTAATACCTGATAATTTTGATGAAATCCCAGAACGCTACAAATCTTACATATATGACGTGTTAATATGCATTGTTTACTTTCACCTCAATTTCCCGCGTAATTTAGGACAAAATACGGAAGATTCTTAATTATAGTTACTTTCACGAACATTCCCGCGTAATTTAGGAAAAAACTCGTGGCGAAAGTGCGTTTTAATTTACCTTATTGGCGTTGTAGTTGCCGTAGTGTTTGTGGGCCTGTGAGGTGACCACCACCACCAGCAGTATCTCCAGCACAGGTCTTGGTGACGAAAAACTGTATTTAGCTATTTACACTTTTAATCTATAATATATTTGTTTATGATAAGTTAAGATTCCTGTGGATGGACTAAGATAAGTAGTAGACGACGATCAAGATTCAGAAATACTGTATTCTGGGTGTTGATTTCGTTCCTAGTGTTAAGTGAGTATATCAAATTTCAGGTCGAGTCTCAGTGTAATTTTACCCCATTTTGGATGTTAATGTTGTGCTTAATTTAGTGAGCCAGTTAGATGCGTTATTATATCTACAGTTACAAGGAAAATTAAATCTTTGAGAACTCGAATCCGAACATCGGAATTCTCCAGAGTTCATAAGTTAAATTTTCATCGTAATTGGAGATGAAAAAAAATATATATTTTATGTTATTTAAATGACGATGGACTTCTAAAATGACGTTGAAATTTATCTGAGACTATCTGGTCTATTATTGAGTATAATTAGATTAGAGACTTTAAAAAATATATAATATTTCCTCAAGTTTCTTACCCGTGTTTAGAATTAATTTCAACTTTGGCTGCGTGAGTTTAGTTACATGAAAATAGGAAAGGGAGGAAGAGGATAGTTGTGATGGATGAGGGAGACTGATGATGGATGAGAGGCTGATGATGTTTGGATGATAGTAGAGCTGGCAGAGACCTCACCACGAGAAGAAGAAAAGGATGGATGAACTGGGAAACTAATATTACCTGATCATGTTGATGAGATTTAGTTGAAGCGACTGTTACAAAGACGGCGTTTGGATGAGTGTGGTGGCGAGAGTGACTCCTCCGCTCTATATACCATCCCCTCCTCCTGCCCCTCCGTCCCCTCCTCCTGCCCCTCCATCCCCTCCTCCTCCCCTCCATCCCCTCCTCCTCACCTCAGTCAAGGTCACTATAGACTTAATTATTATGGTCAATGTGTACTGTAACGCACAAGATCCGCGTGTGTGTGTGTCATTAGTCCTTACCAGCGCTCACTCACTCGCCCAAAACACTCAACAAGATCCATTATATATTTTTTTTCAAGGACGTATATAAGAAGAAGGTTTAAAAATTTCGTTGGTTTTGAATAGGTCGGTTAGAAACATCGAGTACCAGTGCAATTTTGGCGCCATTTTGCTTCCCATCTCTGTGTTGTTGATTAAGTGAACCTGAAGGGGTCACAGCTCAAGATTGAAGAAGCCGCAGGTCCAGAAAACTGCGAGGGCAAACTTTTTCCGAGTGAGAGTTGTAAACTCTTGGAACAATCTACCAGAAAGTGTTGTGACGGCACCGAGTGTGAGCTCTTTCAAGACCAGACTTGACCAACACTGGAGCGGGTTCAGGTACATTCAGGAGCCGGTGCATGCCCAGTACTTGCCAACAGTATGTAACAGAGACGTGACCGATCGCCCAAGCGGCTAACGAGTCGATCAATTGGTGAAGAGGATAAAAGAAAAAGGAAAGATAAATTCTACCGGGGGGTTAGGTTAGGTATAGGGTAGCTTAAGGATTGGTTAATCTTCAGGTAAAACATGCTAAGGGTGTCTAATCTTCAGGTGATTCAAGAGTTGTTTGGGTACGATAACTGTGATGAAGGCGACGACTATTTTGGGAGCAACATTAAGAGCTAGTGTGTCTCAGCTTCCGGTGTAGTTTTATGGTAATGACTAAACCACCGTAACGTCACGACACACCAAGTACTTCACCACTACGTTATTAACTCAAGCCAGCAGGCAAACTGAAGGCGGAAGAGGTATCCTGACGTTACTATATATTATTGTACCCGCTATGACACACCTTCGTTACAACCCGCCAAAAGACGCCTTCGTTACTATCCGCCAAAAGACACCTTCGTTACCATAGACCAAGACATAAGTTCGAATCCCCTCTCAATGATAGAGAAAGAAACAGACAGACAAGCCTACTTCATTGCTTCCTGGGGAAAAAATCACGGATCACCTGAAGAATTGTCACCCCAGAGTTTGGCAGGGTGACAACTCTTCAGGTGGGATATCGTGGGGTGACGATTCTTCAGGTGGACATTCTGGGGTGATGATTCTTCAGGTGATCCAAAATCACTACAGCTAAAACTAATACAACAACAGTGTTACGTCTTAAATGCAGGAAAGTGGTTTTCTTACCGTAGAACTCAGATACCTTCACACTGGTTACTCACCCAGGAGATTATGGTGTATCACTACGTAGAATTTCACTCTGCTTCCGGCATTCAATGCGTTGTGTACTTGATAAATGATGATTTAATGAATTTCATTAATTTCCAACACCAATCTAGGTTATTGATTGTACTTTGTCATAACCAATCAGTCATTACCTTTGGTAATAATAATAGAGGGGTCACAGATACGGGCAGATAATTTCACTTGGGTTTATTTGGCACAATTCCATATACTGGACTTATAATTTGCATGGATAGGTCAGTCACTCACATTCACGCCACAGTACCGTAAGTTATAAGGGAGAGTTTGTCAACCTGGAGAATTAATCGTTTAGATCTATTAGGCCGGCCTGGAGTGCTCTTGTAGCAACAGGCCCTCACCATTGATCACTTCCTTTACAGGATGTGTTAACTTGTCGCTGGACTTAACAACAATCTCGGGGATTAGCACACACAGACTCGTAGCACTCGTAGCACTGTATGGCCCCTGTTCTTAAGTCCGCGGAGCAGGAGGCCTTTTCTAACCCAAGGTATAAAGCCCACTGACTAAAATGTGGTTTTGGGCGTGAGACGCGATGAACAATACACCAGTGTCTCAATCACCCCCTCCTCCTCCTCCTCCTCCTCCCATAGACTAGCTCACATACCCACTAATGAAATAGTGATGACAGAATCACGGCTCGCCTGGTCCCTTATCTACAGTAAACAAACATTTGGGATGGGGGGGGTAGGCCCAACGCAACCCATGACAAACAGCTCATCCTCAGAAAAAAAATCACTACAGCTAAAACCCAAAACAACAAAAGCTCTAATTAGGAAAAAAAAATATTCCCAGAGCTTCGTAATATGATTTTTCTCGTAATTGACTGATTTAATATTAAGAAAACCTTCAAAATGGCAGTAAAATCACACCGAGACTACAGCATCATTAGATACGTTCAGTTGGCACCAGTTATGAGATAGAAATTAGTAAAACCTCTATTTATCGGACTACATGGAGAGGAAAGTCCATTATATCGAGGGAACTATTAGATGTGAAACCCCCATCTAACGGATTATATAGAGAAAAGTCCGTTATATGGAGGATTTACTTAAAGAGATGAGAAAAGTTGTATTTTTTTCACTTATTCAGTTTCACTTTCCGTAGAACAAGAAGAAGAGGAGGAAAGAGGACGGAGATAATCGTGATAGTCAATAACGAAGAAGATAAATGATGGAGGAGGTAGAGAGAGATGATAAAATAAGATAATACGAAGATAAAGATGAAAAGAAAAAAAATACACGTAGTGTGTTTATAAGATGTTGATGATATGTACACACACACACACACACACACACACACACACACACACACACTTTTATCAGTAATGGTGGCAATAAATTTACTGCGTGATTTCCTGTAGTTTCTTGAGGGATTAATACCTCTGATTTTCCGTTCTGAGATTAAGTAATTAAACAGCTATTACGATGATTAAAACATTATTAGTGAATCAGTCAGTCGGTTAGTTAATCAGTCTGTCAGTTAGTTAGTCAGTCATTAAGTCAGTCAGACAGTTATTCAGTCAGTCAGTCGATCAGTCAGTTAGTCGGTCAGTCAGTCAGTCAGTCAGTCAGTCAGTTATTCATTCAGTCAGTCAGTCAGTTAGTCAGTTAAGAAAGACAGGCATTGAGCTAACTAACGCAGACACAAGAACCACTACCAAGCAATTCAATCCTGTTAAGCCCTCCTGATTAGTCACGATTGTTGCTCATCCTGGGGAAAACAAGCCGAAATTTCCCGCCAAGGATTATCTACCCAATTTTCTTTTTAGCTGCGTCACGAACGACCTAATTTATGGTCAGGTAATTATCTTATGACTGTGAGCCGACAAGTTGTTAGTAGGTGAGGCCTTGTGGGACGTGACTAGTAATAATAATATATGCACAGGCGTTGCTTCCATGTTGACTCTCTACCTGTTCTTGTAATTATACCTGTGTCTACAGCTGTATTTGTATCTTTACCTGTACTGGTAGTGGGCAGCTGCCAAACAGGGAGGGACTACCGCCTGGGAAGATATTGGAAGCATAATGTGTTGTCTAATGGTAGACCCTGCTGCCATATGGCATCACAAAAATTGTGACCAAGTCCCAGGTTACTGATCTGACTTTCTGTCTCATTTACACACAATTGCAGGGTCTCAATTGTTTCTTTTACCATTGACGACACAACACAAAATACACACACACACAGTTGTGTGTAAATGAGACAGAAAGTCAGATCAGTAACCTGGGACTTGGTCACAATTTTCGTGATGCCATATGGCAGCAGGGTCTACCATTAGACAACACATTATGCTTCCAATATCTTCGCTCCCCAGGCCCCGATGTGGGTCAGTGACCTGTGCCCGGGTGGGCTAATCCTCGTAAAAAAACAAAAACAAAAATATAAAATAAAATAAAATAAAAATAAAATGAAACTTGTGTTATAGGGAAAAATGTGGCGTCTCTGAACTTTTGAGAATCGAATCCATATGGACCAGCATTGATGTTGTTTTGTTTCCGGATAACAATAGATGCCAGAAACAAAACAAAAGAAGATCTAGATCATCGCCTCAGAGTACACAAGACTATCATCATCAGAGTGACCTTAGTAGGGCCGTGAAGGAGGAAGGGACAGGGGGGGGGGGAGGAGGAGGAGGAGGAAGAATCTACAGTATATAGAGCGGACAAACTAGACCCGCCGCCACACTCACCCACAACACCTCCCTCCCTCCCGTTGACTGTCTCAGTGTCGTCTATACTGACTGTCTTGTGTGTTGACTGTATCTCATCATGACTGGGTGAGAGAGAACGTCTTACATTTACTGCTGCGGAAATATTGTTGTTGACGCAGTGAGAGAGAGAGAGAGAGAGGTGTAAGCAACTAACACAAACAAACCTTCCTTTACAGAACCTACCTGAAGGGGACGCTGGTGGTGGTAGTGGCTCTGGTGGTGACGGCCCAGGCTCTGAATTACGACTCTCATCAGACTGCCAAGGTACTTCTGTCTGCATGCCTGTCTGTCTATAACTACCATTACATGTGATTCAGACTACCATGATTCAGGTCACCATTGCCAGGTTACCAGGTTATTACTACCATTACTTAACGATGTCATAAGCTACCATGACAATCGCCTACCATAGATCACATCATCGTTATTATCTACCATGAATTAGACTCCCATTATTGTTATATACCATGAGTTATGGTATTAGATTCCTCAAATACCATGACTCAGGTTATCCAAATTACCATAACTCTTTTACTGGATTACCATTAATTTAGAATTTCTGGCTACAATTTTTAGAATTTGGCAGTTTGTCTGTAATTATATGTATTATTATTATTATTATTATTATTATTATTATTATTATTATTATCATCATCATTATCATCATCTCCTCCCCCCAGGCATGTCCACCGCAGATTCAGTACGTGACCATAACACAGTCTGTTCCCCGGCACGTGACAAAGACTGAGTTCCTGACCGACACCCAGTACGTGACCCAGGTAATCACTACCTCACCTGGCGTTAATTAATGATATCCCGGTTTTACGGAGTCCGGATTAGAGAAATTAGTTTGATATTCCTATTTGTGTGTCTGTGTGTGTGTGTGTGTGTGTGTGTGTGTGTGTGTGTTTTGTAGCCACCACTAAACACCGTGTGTATCCTCCCCGGGGTCAACAGGTCACCACACAGTACCTGACGGAGACGCAGGTGGTGCCAGAGTACGTCACCACCACACAGAGCCTCGACTTGTACGTGACAGAGACGGTCAGGCATTACGTCACCGCGACCATCCCTCAGCCTCACTACGTCACCGTCCAGGCCGACTGTCAGCCCCAGGGAGGTAAGTTACTGTCGCTACTACTACTACCCCATTAATACTACTACAAATCCATTACATCTACTACCCCATTACTACTTTTTTTTTAATATTATGGCCTCCAGCCTCCCCCAATAGCCACACCTTCGTCGCCACTTTATTACCTTAAAACTAAATATCCTAATACAAAAGTAGCTACCCTCGCTGTGTTGAGTTAGTTGCTACTACTACTACTACTTCTAATAATAATAATAATGATAATAATTCTTTCAGGTTATGGTGGACGCCCAATGCCTAGTTATTAGGGTTATTAAAGACCCAAACATTATAACGTTATCACCATCGTTAAAACGTCAACAAAGATTCCTTAGTTAAAGCCTCGTCCTAAATGCTTCTGTACTAGAGTCTTAGTGTCGTGTTAGACTTATCAGAGGCTTTTTTTCATGTTGGAGATATTAACTCAGGAACTTTGAAAACCCATAAAGGCTTTATTGCTGTGACGCCAATATTTACTTAAACGATAATTTGTTCACCTTGAGACGATCTTGTGGTATATGACGTCACAACACCTCATTATGATGCCATCTCGCCTTTATTGTGTTTAGTATTAAGGTTCATATTGAGTTTACTTTTACTGCCCGGGTATTATGTAAGTTTAAACTGTGTACACAAATAAAAATAAGAGTTACTCGGCGTGTCACTCCTACATCAGTGTATCAAGAGGGTTAATAACGACAGATATTAACTGTAATTTATTTATTTACTAATGTATAAATAACTTGTAGGATACAATACCAGCACATGTTTTGTATTTAAGTGAAACAAAACACCTTTGATGATTATATAAATAATGTTGTAATAAATGAAACACATACATACGTATATACACACACGTATGTATATATGGTCAGGTGCAAAATATGTGGACAAAATTATGTGGGGCATGACAGACGCCTCCTGATTGGATCAATAGATAACCAATGAGTGTGTATGTCTGATGTCATGGGTGTAATGATCATCTGGTGATTGGTTTATTAGTCAACCAATTATGCTGTATCATTTCTCTGACATGCTCCGGGATGTGATGTCATTAGTGAACCAATATATGACGTCACTGATGTATGTCAATGACGCCTACTGACCGACTCGATTGGACAACCAATGGAAGTATACTAATGACGTCAGATCACGTGATAGACACCAAACGTAAACACACCAGTAACATTAACATTTGGATACATATTGGTGCTACTTATCACTGTTACCTAGAAGAACGTTACTCTGTGTGATGTGAAGTGTCTCAAAATGCATTAGTCTTTAGCCAATGAAAAACATCTGAATGGATTTACATAGAGAAATAGACGATGAGAAATGACGTCATTAATTTGGTGAAGGATGACGTCATCAGCCTGAGTAGCCACCGAACTTGATAGCGCTCCCGTAGCCTGACGAAGGGAATAGTAATGGATAAATACTGTTAACAAAATGTATAAAGTGATAAAGAAACCAACAAATGTATAGATAACTGAAGGTATTAGTAAGAAATATTTAAAACACCATGAACTGGAGAATCAAGGAAGGGATCCTACTAGATGACCCTCCTTCCTTCCCTCCTTCCTTCCCTCCCTCCTTCCCATCATCACCTCAGTACCCACCTCCTGAACCCCCACCATGGCCACCAGCAGCACCACCACCACACCCCTTGGCCACAGTCACGAATTGCTTCTGGACGGCGGTGGTGGTGAAGAGTTGGTTCACTGTCTTGGTCACCGGTTCGGATGTAACTGTCTCCGTTGCTGTCACTTCTACCGTCTCTGTGGCTGTTTCTGTCTCCGTTGCTGTCACTTCTACCGTCTCTGTGGCTGTTTCTGTCCCGGTCGCTGTTTCTGTCACCGTTTCAGTCTGTCAAGAGCAAAGAGCAGTAAATAAGTACATGAATTAATAGAAAAATAACAATAAATAAATACGCAATTAAACAGATACACAAACATATGTAATCAACAGGTGTGCAACAGGTGAACTTCAACAGGTGTAAAACAAGAAGTGTATATCAACAAAAATATATTAACAAATATATATATATATCAACAGGTGTGCAACGAGAGACAGATGTGTACTCACCTGTAATTCAGTGACGGTCTGGATGACGTATTTCACCTGAGTGCCACACGGCTGTTGGGAAGACTTCTCCGTCAGTGTAAAGTGAGTAAAGTTATCTCTCTCTTTCCCCTCTCCCTCTCTCTTTCCCCTCTCCCCCTCTCTCTCTCTCTCTCTCTATCTATATTTTTAAGTATGTACGGCATTATCAACTTCATCATCTCTATCTAAATTAACACTGACCTACGATGACCCAAGATTATAAGCACTGACCTGAGCTTGACCTTGGACGCGGTAGCCATTATAGCCGTAGTTTGAGGCATCAACTACAGCTGTCACCACCAGCGTCGCCATTACCAAGAACCTAAGAAAAAGTGTTTATATTCACATTATTTCATCATTTCATTCTTTACTGATTAGTATTGTAATTATTTTATTTCTGGGTTTAAATTTTTTTTTATTGGTGAGTTAAACCTTTAGCCCTTTAAAGAGTATAGTTATTACAATTTCAATTGTTTATTCCTTGATAGAGGAAGCGGGATCCTAGTGCTGTCACTAGGTACCCCTGTACAATGACACCAGAAGCATCTGGCAAGTGTCACAAGTATATACAGTATAAATATTATAAAGGGGCTTACTAAAGCCTAAGGAAGGAAGGATGTTCCTTTAACACATAATCAATATTATTTACAAATATCTGGCCAGTATGGGAGGATCATCGTGTCTCCGTCAGGGGGTCGTGGAGTGGTGGTCCAGCAGGCGTCACGGAAGCGTTGTGTGTGGGGACATCTTAGGAGGTAGTGGATAAGGGTGCTGCTGTCGGGTCTTCTGCATAACGCACAAGAGCGTTGCTCAGGGGATGCGGGGATACCAATCTCCCAAGCAAAGTCATACCCAATGATGATACGGGCAGCAATCACGTCCCCTTTCCGCGACCCTTTCCCGTAGACGTACGAGAGGTCAGTGTCGCATTTGAGGTATTTTTATTCCGGCTAACGGGAGGTGATTTTATTCAGCTGAGAAATCCATACCAGTCAAAGGGTTACATATTTCTTGTGAATAACAATAATAATGATAATAATAATAAACACTATTTAAAACGTTATCTCGGACGCGATAATTATTTTCCAAGATTGTTTTATGTTGTAGGTTTACGTATCGTGGTGGGTATGTCTCTAGCATTATCCTTCTTAGTCAGGTTATATCTTTCTCTTTCTTATGATTTTCTTCACCTACTATATTGGAAGTTATTGCGTATTGATATTGAGTTAAAGTGAGGCTATGAGCTGATGTCCTAACTTATGTAACTTTGACTACAAGTAAATATGAACGTAAAATAAGAATATTATCACTGGTACAGCTTATGTCGTCTCTCTTTCTTTAATTGGTGATATTATGAGAAATTAATAATAAAAACCCCGGAAATTTACATTATGATTACAGTAACGGTTTCAACACTCACTCGTAGTCACAACAAAAGGATAGATTAGTGACTGTCGATGTTGTTTTGTTTTGAGATAACTTTTTAACTTATTGTATTCTTCATATCTAAAGTTGACATTTGTATTTTTGTGAATATTTCCAAATGACATAATCTGTGTTATGTCTTGGAGGTTTTGTTTTGTTTCTTTGTATAAATATTTTTGTACTAAAGCTTCTAAATTTAACATAACTTAAGACAAATATGACACGTTCTCACAATACTTAATACTAAGAAAAAAATAAGAATGGTAGGTCGAGAATATACCATAAGCTGTTTAAAGTAAGGAGTGTTTGTGTAGACACTGGCATTGGGGTAAGCGTATTAAATCATTGGCTATGTTAATTCTCACGTACAGTTTCACCCACGAACAGGAAGAGTTTTGAGAGACGAGTAACAAAATTGGATTAAAATGAAAGATGAAAATGAACAATAAACCGAAGAAAAAAACTGAGTTGAATCTGCTGCTTGTGCAATTAACCGGGCCGTTCACATATATTTATTATTTGGGTGTAAGTAACGAAACCCAAACGGTAGTTCCTTTGTTTTATTATAAAAGGATTGTATATATAATTCCTGAGTGTAGATCGACCGTAAGTCTCACTGTATAGGAGTGAATGAGAAAGGGACGGCGTTTTTGTCTTATAAACGTTAGGTCACGTCCTTACGCTATAAGTTGTTGTGAGCGACTAAAGAGTGAGGGCCTCGCTGTGCGGGCTGACAGATATGCTGACTACGGGTCTCACCCTCCTGGGAGAGTTGCCTGCTCACCTGTCCAACTCATGTCTTACTCATAGACAGTGGAAAGTTACAGGGGGTGAATCTGAATATAATATCAGATGTATTGACCCATTTATATAATAAGTTCTGTTGATGAGACAGGGGCCCATTACAGAGTTATAGATGAATAAAGTGAAATAACCAACAATAACAGCAACTGCTTACCTCATAATGTTGGATAGACGGAAGATGTGGAGATATGACCTGTTACTGCTGCCGCCTGGTGGGTGTGAGCGGCAACACGGGGTCTGCCTTGCTTATATACCTCAACTGAAAACTAATGACCCAAAGACCTGACACGGTCATGGCGTTTCAAAAAAAAAAAAATGTTGTGTTTTCCGAATTTCTTTTTTCTGCTTTATTTTAAATTGTTCTAGCTAAATATCAGAAGTTGCTAAAAACAATATTATTTATGTCTTGATAATTTGCCTCTGATGTAATATTGTACTTCACCTGTTTTCACTTCGTATAGAGAAAATATACTGTTGTACCGAACAAAACTCCGTGAAATATTTAATGTTGACAGTAACGGCAAAACAAAATATTTGCATGAATGTAGCGCCAAAAAAACCCTGGAATAATTAAGAGATATTGGCGACAAAAACGACTATTAAATTAATAAGCCGTTAAAAATTGATGATTTATGTAGATATGGCGCTAAAGAGGGAACTATTACAAAAACATTGGCGCCAAAATAGGAATTCTTACATTAATGCGGCGTAGCAAAAAAAAAGGATATTTACGTGAATTTGGCGACAAAGACGTGAAATCGACATCTCTGTGCCTCTGTGGTCAATTTGTAACTGGAAAAAGATTAGGAAAATACTCTTGCTGAAGGTGACTCATCGTTAGTACGTGTCCTCGACTCATTGTCACTCTCAGCTCATTGTCACTCTCAGCTCATTGTCACTCTCAGCTCATTGTCACTCTCAGCTCATTGTCACTCTCAGCTTATTGTCACCTAAGTCATATGTTAATTCTAAATAGGTGTTTTCAAATTCTGGTAAGAGAGAGAGAGAGAGAGAGAGAGAGAGAGAGAGAGAGAGAGAGAGAGAGAGAGAATAATGATCATCGCCTCACGTAATCCATTTCGGCTTTCACCAATTTTATTTTCTTGTGTCAAACATTAAGGACTGACATTGACACATTCACATGATGAGGAAGAAGAAGAAGAAGAAGAGTAAAAGAAGAAGAGTAAAAGAAGAAGAAAAGAAGAATTAAAGAAGAAGAAAAGAAGAATTAAAGAAGAAGAAAAGAAGAATTAAAGAATAAGAAAAAGAAGAGTAAAATAAGAAGAAACAAACAAAAGAAATATAAGAATATGCAAACTAAAATGATGAAAAGAAAATAAGAAATAATGAAAATTAACTTGTAAAGGAATATTAATAGAACTACAACAAAAACAAGTACATCAACAACTACTATTAGTCTACAACAACTACAACAAAAATAATAGATATTCAGCTGTAATAACAACTAACGAACATAACCACTAGATCAAGACCTCACACAATAATAACTGCTACAGGAACTAATACAACAACAACACTTTCAAATTTAATAAAACAAAATCAACAACTATGGAAAAAATAATTAAAAAAACTTTATCAATATGCAATGACAAAAATAACTATAATAATAACTAAAACAACAAAAACAACGACACCGACAACAACATCAAATACAACAATAACAACAACAACAACAACATCAAATACAACAATAACAACAACAACAACATCAAATACAACAATAACTACAACAACAACATCAGATAATAACTCTACCACCTTTGTACCTGAAGAGTTCGAGGTTAACATTTTCAAGAACTCAAGTGTAATGTAACTTCCGTTTCTTGGTGACTTTTGAGGTCCGTGGGCGCATGAAGGGCGGGCGGGAGGTACACACACACACACACACACACACACACACACACCAATTCTAAAATGGTAAAATAGATTCGGAAAGTTCGTATTCACCGGAGTCACGCACGCCTAGAACTCATTCACTGGCGCGCGAAAGGAACTCGAACGTCTTACCAGGAAATGAATCCTCGGGGTTTTCATAGTAATTTTTTTTTCTCTTGTGTTTTTGAAAGCGGAGCGAAGTCGGTGATATATTGTTTGGTTTGGTCGTGATCGTTAGGGTGATTCCTGGACGAGTGTGTGTATGACCTTGGGAGGAAGGTGGGGATATGGATGGGGAGGGGTATGGGATGGGAGGGGGTAAGGGATGGGGAGGGGTAAGGGATGGGGGAGGGGTAAGGGATGGGGAGGGGGGGATGGGGGGTAATATTGGGTGATCTGTATTTTAGAGGAATTTAGTGGCAGATGAAGGTTTCTCTTTCATCATTATCGTCATCATCATCATCATCATCATCATCATCCCCCCTACACCTACTCATTCACTAGTCTCAGTACATGGTCCTTAAACCTAACATAATCTGTAATTGCTGTTGACCTAGAATACGAAATTAAAGGTCATAGTTATTAGAGCTCAGTAATCCGTTGTAAAATTAACCTAATTACGTGAAATAATCGGGTGTGTGTGTGTGTGTGTGTGTGTGTGTGTGTGCGCGCGCGCTGATCTCACTCACATACTAAAGTGGGGTTGACTTTTATTAATCATGTCTGGTTTTCGTCCGTTTGTCTGTCCGTCAGTGCGAGTATATGATAACTACATTGATTATCTATATAAATTTAAACCGCGTTCACACACACACACACGAGCCAGCGGCGCGAGGAAGCTCAAGCATCAGGTGTTGTCGCGCCAAGCCTCAACAGGGTCAACACGTCGGAAAGTCCCGCAGTAAAATCCCACAACCGTACTTCCCCCTTCCCCCCCTCCCTTCCCCCTCCCCTCCTTCTGCCCCTTCCCCGGGTAGCAGGATTGCAAGTTACAGAAGCGTGTTTGTAATACAGTCCAACGCTTGACAATATTCCCCCTCAGAGAGACTTAATCCTCACAGTATAAACCTTGAGGCAGAGTTCATCATATATAACATTCTTATTAGACTGATTTTTAGAGTGACTCCCCGAAATATTTGTTCCAACAATAGTCATAACGGATACTCCTTTTGACCTTGACCCATGACCTTGACCTGTGATGTAATTATTCCAAAATAAAATCACTGTCGACCAATACATCTGCCGCCATAATATAAGTCATCAGACAAAGTGACAAAAGCGAACCAGGGAGGGTATTTTCCCCAGTAGTTAGGGTGATCAACAGTGTGGTGGGGGAAAACACTCACAATAATCCAACAGTTTTAGGGGAAAAAAAGAGAATCCTTAAGGTTTTTCCCTAGATCTGTAATGATCCATAATAATAATAATAATAATAATAACCACAATATAAAATCAAAGGCTGAACAAAGAGACAACAAACTAGACTCCCTGCACGGCCTTAGGTTCCAAAATTTCTCTCATATATTACCAAAATTATGATCAAAATTTACTGCTTGGCGGCCGCTGTAAAACTTGACACCAATGACGTCAATTTGAGTTCCGTTCCTCCAGATTTATTTACAATATGGCAGATGTTGCTTTCTCGTTAGTACTTTCACCCAATATTACTCATTAACATATTTATATATATTTTTTTTATTAATTTACGTGGTATATATTATTATTATTTTTAAAAGTTCGTAGTGTTTTTGTAAATATTGCAGATGTTGCTATCCCAGTTGCAACTTTCGCCTCGGTTTATGAACTAATTTATATTTTGTCTTTGTATTTACGTATGTTTTTTTTCCTCGTATTTCGCAATAAGGAATAATTTGTGGTGTTGTACGTGGACTCATTACTCTCATTACGTCTTGCTTATAAGAAGGAAGAATTGGTTTTTTCCCCTGTGCTTGTTTATGTTTCACTCTTTAGTTTTGCTTTGTTTTTTTTCTTATTTGGTTTATTTTGAGGGCATTTGGTTCACCTTTCTTCCATAAGGGTCATAACTATCTCCTACAGCCGCGGAGAAGGTCATAACCATCTCCTACAACCGTGGAGAAGGTGAGGTGAGAGGAGAGGTCACAGGTAACGCGCCTCCTTACCTACTAAGGGATAACTGATGTAAATGTCTTCTGAAGATTAATGTCCAGAAAATGTAAGTAAATAAAGAAAGAAATTAAAACAACATCAACAAGACTAGAACGACGAAGAAACAAAATAATGTATGAAGGTTCCACCAATAATATACGTACTATATTATATAAGACTATAATAGAAAACGGAATATATAGAAATCAAAGAAAATGAAAGTTAACAGAAACTTTATGGGGTAACTACTTTTATCTTCCTCGTCACTTGTCGGTTAGTGCTGAACGGGCATAGGCTATTTATTATACTTGAGTAAAATGAAACTATTGAGGGAAGACACTGGACTAGAATTGTTAATACTGTATTCTTACTATTTATCATTATTACAGCTATCATCATCATCATCATCATCATTATTATTATTATTATTATTATTATTATTATTATTATTATTATTATTATTATTATTATTATTATTATTATTATTATTATTATTATTATTATTATTATTATTATTATTATTATTATTATTATTATTATTATTATAATTATTATTGTTGTTGTTGTTGTTGTTGCTGTTGTTGTTGTTGTTATTTTATTATTATTATTATTATTATTATTATTATTATTATTATTATTATTATTATTATTATTATTATTATTATTATTATTATTATTATTATTGTTATTATTATTTATTGACCGACATTTATATAATTATGGGATACTTATAGAGTGGCATAAAATAGCACAGCATATATATTTAAGGATATATTTCCTATGAGTTACTTGTATGGATCATTACAAATCTAGGGAAAACCTTTAGGCTTCTGTTTTTTCCCCTAAAACTGTTGGATTATTGTGAGTGTTTTCCCCCACCACACTGTTCATCACCCTCACTACTGGGGAAAATACCCTCCCTGGATATGGATTCCCTGAGTCATACTCGTGAGTTGAAAATACAAACAATAATAAGTAGATTTAACGTGACTTGGCTCAGTGATATCTTGATGATGTTCTACCACGCGAGCACCTCTTGTTTCCGGGCTTATGGCACACCCCGGACTAATGTAGTTCTGAGTAATACATGGTCACCTTTTATTAATATTATCTTATGTGATAAAATAAGGCATCCAGTTTAGGTTAGGTTGGGTTAGAATAATTTAATTTTTGCCTAAAAAGAAATAAAGTTACACCATTAGAGATTTTCTTTTCTTTTCTTAGTGAATAGTAAAGCTTTTAATGGCATTTATAAGGTCTAGTCTCGCCTGCATAATGAAAATCACGAAAATAAGTCCCCTTACGAACAAATAAAGTATTAATTATTTACTAACGACAAAATAGGGTAAATATTACAACCTATTTAATATTTAGAGCGTGTAGACTACTTTTAATAGACGGTTTACATAAGGTAATTCTCTTTTAAAACTTAACAACCACTTCAGTAGTTGGTATAACATGTTGAGAGATGAAGGTCAGGTGTTAGGGCCTCTCAGATACTGTGTCCTGTGTTTAACTTTCCGTCGACGATCTGGTCACAATATTATTCATTAAAATAATCTCAGGCACCACTCGCGTCTACCATCTCAATCTCAAAATGTTTACCAAAAGTGTTAATCAAAATCTCATCGAATAAAAATAATAAAACATAAAGGTAATATTTTCTTGTTATTTATTTTTTTGTGGCGTTCAATGAAACTTTCTGAAGCGTCACTGAAGATAAGAGTTTAGTCATAGTTGTTGGTCTCTCAATCTCTCGCCCGACCCAACCATGACGACCAGAGGGAGATGAGGTGTAGTAAATATTGTGTAAAATGAGATAGATTCGTTTATTTGTCCCGTGTTGTTGTTGTTGTAGTTGTTGTTGTGGTTGTTATTGTTGTGGTTGATCTTATCCCCATTCTATCTGTCTAACTATCTATCTGTCTATCTATCACACACACACACACACACACACACACACTAATTCACAAATGAAAACACGATGCCTTTAATCAGTCACTCGTCTCGATACGGCGTTGCTCACTATCCCCTCTCTCTCTCTCTCTCTCTCTCTCTGTCTATTATAAATTATTATATTTTATTGATTTTTATTGATATTTATCGTTCATCATCCGTGGATCTATATACAACATTAATATATATAAATAAACAGATAACTGGATAGACAGATACAAAAATAAACAGATAACTCGACAAATAAACAGTATTTTTACACTTAATATTTACTTCCTGGTGTGTAAACTAAAAATACAAGGTTTCCCAATGTTCAGGAGCATGTAGTAAATTTGTCACTTGTATACCAGGGAGACAGTGTTAGGTAGGGGTAGGTGGGGGTGGAGAAAGTGGGGGGAGAGGGGGTGGATATGGGGGTGTGTGGAGGAGGAGGAGGTGGAAGGAGGAGGAGGAGGAGGAGGGGAAGATCCTTGGAAGAGTGGAGGGATTGCCGAGGTTAGATAGTGGGCGGAGCTAAATGAGAGGGAGAGGATATATAAACATAGACGATAAAATGAATCTATCAAAGCATCGTCTGCAGTCATATCAATCAGACGTATATTGGTGATTCTTAAACCTCTTCCTAGTCACTCCTCCAAGGTTTACTCCTCCTCCAACAGCTACTCCAAAGCCTCCAACAAGAGCAGCTCCTCCAAATAAGTTTGTTCTCCACAGTACCACAAAAGGATTGTCTACGACATGGCAAGGTAATGTGTACCATGAGTGTGAGGGGGGGTAGGGGATATTTTAAGGGGGTTCAGGTGGAGTAATGGGGTAAGAGTGTCAGAGGATGGTGTCAGAAGTTCCTTGGGGTCAGGGAAGATTCCTTTGGGGGTCCAGGGAAGGATTCAGAGTATCTTTGGGGGTCCAGGGAAGGATTCAGAGTATCTTTGGGGGTCCAGGGAAGGATTCAGAGTATTTTTCTTAGGGTCCAGAAGGAAGGATTCAGAGTATCTTTGGGGGTCCAGGGAAGGATTCAGAGTATTTTTGGGGTCCAGGGAAGGACTTAGAGTATTCTTGGGGTCCAGGGAAGGATTCAGAGTATCCTTATGGTCCAGGGAAGGACTCAGAGTATCCTTATGGTCCAGGGAAGGACTCAGAGTCTCCTTATGGTCCAGGGAAGGACTCAGAGTATCCTTATGGTCCTAGGAAGGCGTATACAACAATAGCTCCTGTTTGATGTTGATATATTTTTTGTCAAACCAATGGATCTATGTGACGAGTCGATGGCTAGATGGCTATACTATTGCTATTATATACATTCTATTTCGTTAATATCACCAAGGCTACATTACTTTTTATACTAATAATATTGGCAGTTCAAGCAAGACAATTTTAGGTTGAGAAGTTTTTTTTTCCATTTTCTGTTGATGTTTGTCCCTTGTGTTTTTTAATCAATTATTATTATTATTATTATTATTATTATTATTATTATTATTATTATTATTATTATTATTATTATTATTATTATTATTATTATTGTTATTACTTCTTGTTCGCCAGGGTTCACCAACTGACGTCGGTGCTGGCGGTGGTGGTGATGCTGTTCGTGGTGGTGGAGGCTGGTAACCGTGGCTACAACGGCTACTACGTCCAAGGCGGTCGTACCCAGGTCAGTGTCAAGGGTCATGGGTCACTATAGCTCTATGTCAACGGTCATGGATCATTATAGGTTAGTGTCAAAGGTCATGGGTCATTATAGCTCAATGTCAAAGGTCATGGGTCATTGTAGGTCAGTGTCAAGGGTCATGCACCTGTATATGTGTTAGTAATGTAATAATTCATGTACTGTACTATTGTCTCCACCTGTAATTGTACCTGGACTTGTATTATCACCTACACCCTTGTACTTGTCTCTACAGTTATCTAATTCATAAAAAAAAAAAATGAAATAGTTTCCCAATATTATTATTTTTTTCCGACAGCTGTGCCCGACCACGGTGAAGCAAATCACTACCACGGAAACTGTGACCGAGGTGAGTACTGTTTACCGTCTCTGTAAACACACTACCTCCTGGTCCACTTAACCCCTTCACCAGGTAAACACAAAAACACCCTAACACCTGTGAATGGGTTTTATTAGGTGTGGGTGTGGTGGGGATGTCAGTTCCTCAAGTTGATGGAGTAATTCTATCACACACACACACACACACACACACACACACGCACACACACACACACACACTGGATATACAAATAACTACTAAAATGATTACACATCCAGAAAGAGTCTGTAAATGAAACCTAAATTAACTCCCATATATCTGACTGTATGTCTCAATAATATATTTTGATTCCAACAGACGACGACGGCGACGAAGACTGTGACAGCGACGGTGAAGGAGACGGTGAAGGAGACGGTAACAGCGACGGTGACGGTGGTGAGGAACGGAGCAGGTTATGGAGGTGTGTGTGGTGGTGGTGGTGGTGCCCTCTACCTTGTCTACCTCTTGTTGTTGTTGGTGTTGTTGTTTACTCTTCCCGGTGTATAATATGTTTCTCTTCCTCACATCCTCCCATCCTCACACCTCTCCCATCCTTCCTCCCATCCTCCCATCCTCACACCTCTCCCATCCTTCCTCCCATCCTCCTTCCCATTCTCACACCTCTCCCATCTTCACACCTCCATCCATTATCCTATATAGCAAATTAGACTATAATTTACCTGTGTAATTAACAGTTAATCTCTCCACCAACAGGTAACAGTGGTGGGCGACTCCAGTATGGATACAAGGGTTAAGTCTCCCCCTCCACTAATACCCAGTTTCTCCCGTCACTTCCACACTCATCCACACCACCTCCACCTGCGTCAACCTCGAACTCCACTCGATTCTGTCTCTTCCTCCACGGGTGATACTTCTCAGGGGTTAGTTTTGTCTGATGAGTTGTTTTGTCCAAGGGGTAGTTCTGTCCAAGGGGTAGTTCTGTCCAAGGGGTAGTTCTGTCCAAGGGGTAGTTCTGTCCAAGGGGTAGTTCTGTCCAAGGGGTAGTTCTGTCCAAGGGGTAGTTCTGTCCAAGGGGTAGTTCTGTCCAAGGGGTAGTTCTGTCCAGCATGATAGTAGTTCTCTCCAGTGTGGTAGTTCTGTCCTTTCCTATGTTACATTTGTATGCTTTGTATACTGTAGACAGGCATGTAAGCTTTGTAAACAGTAGATAGAAGTAAGCTTTGTAAACAGTAAGCAGAAGTAAGCTTTGTAAACAGTGAGCAGAAGTAAGCTTTGTAAACAGTAAACAGAATTAAGCTTTGTAAACAATAGAGAAGAAATAACGTCTCTTTACATGTAGAGATAAATTGTATCCACTTGTTATTGTGTTAATGAGTAATAAAGTAATACAATAATTCTTACTAGTTTTTGTAAGTAAAGAAAATGTTTATGTATTTTTTGGTTTAATTTATAGTATAGTATATGATGGCGTACAGATTATACGTTATATATTGTTACGGGGGTTAATGTATCTGTGAGAGAGAGAGAGAGAGAGAGAGAGAGAGAGAGAGAGAGAGAGAGAGAGAGAGAGAGAGAGAGAGGTTTAACTTGTGTTCGTTGTAGTAATCATCAGTGCTCAAATTTATTCAATATAATGTTCATCAGTGTTCATTCCAATGTTCACTAGAGTGTTACAGTCGTCTGAGGAAAACAAAACAAACTGGTATATTTTTTAGGTGTTGTTATTTTTTATCAAAGTTCTCCTTCACTTTACAGATAAAGTATTTGAGAGTATTATCAAAAGAGAGAGAGAGAGGCGTCCTATCTCTCTCTCCCAGTTATCATTATTATTACTTATATCTGAAACACATCAACAGTATCAATGATCGAGTCGTACAATGATAAGACTGTGATATGAAAAGAATAAAATAATTGTTGCGACGCGGGAATCCTATGTGACCACTGGCGATGATGCCCCCTTCACCTGAGGACTCGGCACGCACGCCCTACGGACCTACGCCCAGGTCCTTCAGGAGGCAGGTTTGAGGCGCCCTGGCCGTAGGATGTCCCCCGCCACTTGGTTAGGACAGCTTCCGGCCGCCCCACACACGCCTGCCGCAGCAACACTACGTGACGGTGGCTGGGTTCCCGAGACACATACTTGTTGGCCCCGCCAGGACGGTGTGGGGGTCAGCCTGAGTTGGGGGCGAGCCTGCACTAACACACACCCTCACAACAGTACGCATACAACACAGTTACGCACACGCACAAGTACGCACACAGCAGGAGTACGTACACAGCAGGAGTACACAGTTTCAGAGGGTACAGACACAGAGCAACAATGAGCACAGAAGAAAAGATCAGAGAGAGACAGAGAGATAAAGAATAAGTGATGTTAATACTAATTAAAAATTAACAGTGGAAATAAGCCACAGAACTGAAGATAACAGATGTTTCTTGTTAACTTATGATGATGACGTTGTCCTTCCTTAATATGAAAGTAAATAAATCATGGCGCTCTTGGTATCCCATTATGGCGACGAAGCCCCTGAGGGTGACGCATAACTTTGTCTTGAACGTGAAAGACAAGAGGTATTCAGGGAAGGTTTTTTTCCCCTTTTTCATCTTTTTTCATGTTTTCTTCTTTTTTCCTTGAGAGCAACATGGCTTGATTGGTCGATCGGTGACGTAGACATGCTGGAGATGACCAATCCGGTGCCAGGAGGTGTTGTGTGGCAGTAGCAGTCAGATAATAGGTCGTCCCTTCACAACACTTGTTGGTGACTTGTCTGGATGACTTAGTACGGATGATGTATTATGTCTGGATGACTTTTATGCAACTGTGGCATATATGAGTTGGATGTAGTAATGTCGATCCCATCATAAAATAACAACACTGGATGACTTTGTGTGGATGACTTTGTACAAGATGACTCTTTCTATAAGGTCTGGTTGACTTGTACAACTGGTGGTGGTTGGCAGGAGTTGGGACGGGCTGGTTTACTTCATGTAGGTCTTCTGCGACAGCTCGAAGTTCCTGATGGACCTCCGGACGTCATCGAGGAGCGAGGCGGTGCGGGTGTCGGGCACTGTGCGGCGGACCACGTTGCTTCGGATGCCACGCTCGGCGAAGGCCATACGGCGAGGGTAATCTGTCGGGGAAACGACGGGGGAATATTACATATATAGGCAAGTTGTTGTAATGTTATTAACAGTGACTTCCAAAATGATGTTATAACTGCTGCCACGTGACGAAAAGGGGGGGGGAGGAGAGGAGGAGGCAGGGACAGGAAGAGAGGGAGTGAGGCAGGTTTACTCACCACCGGCTCTGCTGTCCATGTACTTGACGAGGGAACTGTAGTAGTTGTCGCCGTAGTCCCAGTTGTAGTCGTAGAAGCGAGGCTTGCGCCTATTCCAGTGCACGAAGAACTTGGGCTTCTTCTTGGGTGCTGGGGGAGGCTCTAGGGCCTCCTCTCCTTCCGCAGGAGCCTCACCCTCAGCGGCAGGGGCTCCGCCCTCAGCGGGTGGCGCCTCATCGACCGGGGCTTCTGTAGAAGGGGTATAGAGATTAGTGTCTACTTCACCTGGCGGAGCAATACACAAGACCACGGGGAGGGAAGAGAACTTTCCTGCTGAGATACAATTTCTGCTGAGGGAGGATTCTGTCTGCTGAGGGGGACTCTGTCTGCCGGGGTGAGGGACTGTCTCTGAGGCGAGTAAACAGTGGGGGGGAGGGGGGGCTGTAATGCCTTACTAGGTAGGGGAGGACAGTCTGTCTGCTGCAACAAGTAAAACAGAGAGGCGGGAGGAGGAGACTTTTTGTTGTTACGTTTTAACAAGAGGGAGGGAGGGAGGGACCCTGTCCGCTGAGATGAGTAAAAGAGAGGGAACTGTAACGGGTCACTGTAACTATTAACTGGTGGATTTTGTTTGTTGTTGTCATGTTCTTGGTGTAAAGTATCTGCTGGGACACATTAACTGAGGGACACAGTCTATTGGGACACATTAACTGAAGGACACAGTCTATTGGGACACATTAACTGAGGGACACAGTATATTGGGACACATTAACTGAGGGACACAGTCTATTGGGACACATTAACTGAGGGACACAGTCTATTGGGACACATTAACTGAGGACACAGTCTATTAACTGGGGACACATTAACTGAGGGACACAGTCTATTGGGACACATTAACTGAGGGACACAGTCTATTGGGACACATTAACTGAGGGACACAGTCTATTGGGACACATTAACTGAGGGACACAGTCTATTGGGACACATTAACTGAGGGACACAGTCTATTGGGACACATTAACTGAGGGACACAGTCTATTGGGACACATTAACTAACTGGGGACACATTGGGACACATTAACTGAAGGACACAGTCTATTGGGACACATTAACTGAGGACACAGTCTATTGTTACACATTAACTGAGGGACACAGCTATTGGGACACATTAACTGAGGGACACAGTCTATTGGGACATATTAACTGAAGGACACAGTCATTGTTACACATTAACTGAGGGACACAGTCTATTGTTATTGTTGGGACACATTAACTGAGGGACACAGTCTATTGGGACACATTAACTGAGGGACACAGTCTATTGGGACACATTAACTGAGGGACACAGTCTATTGGGACACATTAACTGAGGGACACAGTCTATTGGGACACATTAACTGAGGGACACAGTCTATTGGGACACATTAACTGAGGGACACAGTCTATTGGGACACATTAACTGAGGGACACAGTCTATTGGGACACATTAACTGAGGGACACAGTCTATTGGGACACATTAACTGAGGGACACAGTCTATTGGGACACATTAACGACACAGGACACAGTCTGTTGTTGGGGACACATTAACTAAAGACACAGTCTATTGGGACATTAACTGGGGACACAGTCTATTGTTACACATTAACTGGGAGGGACACAGTCTATTGGGACACATTAACTGAGGGACACAGTCTATTGTCTATTGGGACACATTAACTGAGGGACACAGTCTATTGGGACACATTAACTGAAGGACACAGTCTATTGTGACACATTAACTGAGGGACACAGTCTATTGGGACACATTAACTGAGGGACACAGTCTATTGGGACACATTAACTGAGGGACACAGTCTATTGGGACACATTAACTGAGGGACACAGTCTATTGGGACACATTAACTGAGGGACACAGTCTATTGGGACACATTAACTGAGGGACACAGTCTATTGGGACACATTAACTCAAAATGACAGAAAAAGCAAATTTGAAACCTAAAATAAAGGACACGGTTAATTAGGACACTTTAACTGAGAGACAATCTATTGGGACACCTTTAATGGGAAACACAGTCTATCTGGACACCTTAAAAGACAAAATAATCGATTGGGACACCTTAACTGTGTGTGTGTGTGTGTGTGTGTGTGGTGTAAATGATGGATATGCGTTTTATATGTACTTTTGTGTAATTTTGCATGTATGTATGCGTGTTATGTATGTATGTATGTATGTATGTATGTATGTATGTATGTATGTATGTATGTATGTATGTATGTATGTTTGTATGTGTGTATGTGTGTATGTACAGTATGTATGTCTACCTAAAACCTATCAGAATTTTAAACCTACTCTTGATATTATTGAAACTTATATAAAGCTTAAAATTTAAATAATAAAATTAATCTAAGCTTTTAAAATAGCATTAGTTATATTAATTAATTTTTAGGCGACTTTATTGAGTTTTAAATAAGCTGCAGAATCAATTATCTACTCATGCAAGATTATTAACCAAATATCTACTTTCTATCAAGCTTTTATTTCCTCAGCTTATGTCAGCTTTGTTTTGTTTAAGCTGAAGGAGAGAACTATCGCCCTTAACAGCCTATAAAGCAATTTACTAGTTGGAAGGTTTTTTTAAAAATCTATATATCGTCCCTTTTGGTTATTGATTTTTATAAAACCCAAAATTGAACTAGTAACTTGCTAGTGTTCCAAGAGAAATAAAATAGTGATGCTTTCAAATAGTCAAATACAAATGAATAGAACAAAATGCAAAATAAAAAATGCATAAATATTTCTTTCTTTTATTAACAAAATCTTGCAATATGTATAAATGAAATAAAAAAAATCGTTCGAAAATTTCTCAAATATATAAAGAACGTAAAATAATTGTTTTTTTATTAAGATGTTTTAGTTAAATAAATAATAAATAATTGTTGTATTAAGGGCACTTTAGGAGGAACGTAACTAATAACCACCATAATGGAGCGCCAGCACGAGCAGTCAGCAGTGCCTGGCGTTCGTGATGCTTATATGGAGAGATACGCCAGGCTAATATTCGCCAGTTCTCTGTTAGCACTGGCGCTCGCTTATGGTAGGGTCGACTGGCTATACTAGGTGTGTTTAGCAGACAACTGAGGCACTGTACCTAGGCTATATACTACGAATGACACTCTTGAGGGGATAACTAAACTAGGGAAAGTTTTAGAAAGTGAGGGAGAAACAGTGAAAGTGAAGGAGAAACAGTGAAAGTGAGGAAGAAAGAAAGAGAGAGAGAGAGAGAACCAAGTTTTTAGACTGGGGAGATATATAGAATGAAAGTGATCATCTAGGAGAAAGGTTCTAAGAGTAGGAGTTGAGCTTTCACCATCTTAGAGAAAGTGTTTGAAAGTTCTCGGAGAAAGTTTGTAAACCTCTTTGGGAAAGGGTTTGAAGGCCTGGGATGTAGTGTAGACCATCGTAGAGAAAGGATTGGAAGCTCTAAGACACATTCTGAATCCTCTAAAGTTTGAGTCAACACCATTACATATCTAGGGTGTTGACAGGGTCGGCTTAGACTAAAACAAATGACAAACAGAGACACACAACAGACAGATATATCCGCTGGCTACGTCCTTCTGCTACTCTGCAGAGGTTAACACATGTAATGAAATATAGAAGTAGACGGATTTATGGTTAATTTTAGTTAAAAAAAACGTTTCTTCAGGCATTAGCTAGAGGCGTTCCGTAGGGGGATGTGTGCAGAACCGCTGGTCATTCTGGTGTGTCTCTGAGCCGGTGTCTTGTCGTCACTCCGCGTGTCGCCGCCGTCATGCGCCGCTCATTCTGTCTTTTGTTCAGTGCTGCCCACCATAAGCTAGAATGACCGTTGATTGCTAGCTGTAAAGTTGCTGCAATAACTGACCGTTGCTAGTTATGTGGTGCAGTGCTAGCTTTGCTATTTGCCGTGCTGCCAGAATATGCCACCGAGTTTTTTGCTTAGTGCTACCAAGCATAGACTAGAATGACCGTTGATTGCGAGCTGTAATATTGATGCAATAACTGTACATTGCTAGTTATGTGGTGCATTGCTAGCTTAGCTGTCTGCTCTGCTGGCAGTGGCAGCAGTAGTGTAGCGTCTGGCGAGGCCACTAATATACTACTTCGGGGCAAGCTGGACCCGCCAGGCTTGTGCCAACAGTGATGTGTGGTGACGGATGGTGTAACACGTCCGTCACCCACACCCAGTGCTGGCGCAGGCGTGACGGTCCGCCCCTGCTGGGTGGCCTGGCCTTTTGGGGTATGTGGGAGGCCAGGGGTGGAAGGGAGCTACCATAGGGGTAGGGTGTGACCCTGGGGACGTGCCCCGGGTTGGCGTACTGTAGCTACAGCTGAAAAGGTTACTGGCTCTCACACCAGCTGAAGGCTAGTGACCCACCACCACCCTCCTGTACCACTGGTGGAGTACAGTACACCGCTGTGTTCCACAGTCACTGTACGCCACACCTGGTGCAGAGGAGAGATGAGGAGGTGGGTTATGGGTGGTGCGAAGGTGGCAGTAGCGAAAGTGGCAGTAGTGAATGTGGCAATGGCGAAAGTGGCAGCGGCAGAAATGGCAGCGGCGGCGGCAGGTGGCGTAAGAGACACACATGACCGCGGGTCCGACCTTCCTCCCAATAGGTGACGACGGTGTCCTCCTGTGGTTCACCTGTTGAAGGTGGCTCTGGCTCGGGCTCCGGCTCCGGCTCCGGCTCTGGCGCCTGCGGCTCAGGTTCCGGAGGAGGAGCTTCTTCCTTCTTCTCCTCCTTCTCTCCCTTCTTGGCCTTCTTCTTCTTCTTTTTGTCTTTATTAGAGGAAAGTTAAGAGTGAGTGAGGAGCTCCAAGACTCAGGTGTTAGAGCCTTCGTGTCTACCTATACCTCACCTGCTTCTCCTACTGATTTAGTGAGACAAACAAACTCTTAATGGAAGACAACAACAGACCATAATTGGTGAAATAAAATAATCCATTCTTATTAAAGTGAAATAATAATAGAACAGTAGTAAAGGTTTTGGCTGCACCGGTGACTGACCTCTCAACTCATTAATATTTCTCAGGTTCACTTTGTGTCACCTCCATAAATACCTGGCTGGTGGCTGACCCCCTTGCTCCTCTGAGTCATCTCTCTAACACCAGGTCCCCAGGTCACTAGTTCTCGTTATCTACAGGTCTCCAGGTCACCAGGTCTCGTTAATCACTTCCTTCTCCCCGTTATCAACCTAATTACTTAATACAGGTAAACAATTCCACTTAGCTCTGTTTTATTAATCTCAGGTATTCTTGACTATCATTATTAACATACTACCCTTATCTGTCTACCTGTTTATCTATCTCTCTACCAGCAGTAACCTGGTTGAGCAGACAGCTACCTTACGGGGAGCCTAAATGCCACGTTCAGACCCCCCACCCCCCTGAACCTTGGCCAACTGAGCCCCAAATAAATAAATGTCTCTCTTATTCTCAATCTCTCTGTGTCTCGTTTTCTATATTATCTCACTTTTTCTTTGTTTATCTCCCGTTTTCTTTAGTTATCTTACGTTTTCTTTTTTTGTGAGTGAGGTTAGGTTAGGTTCGAGGGAGGGGGGGGGGGCGGTGGAATCCCAAGAATGTCTAGTTAAATAATTCTGGCTGCTGAGAGTAACCTAAGTCGAGTTTCCCGCCAGTCGACCCTTATGGTAAGACATGTCAAGCATTCCTCCCCCCTCCTCGTCTCTCTCCTCCTCTAACCCCCCTCCTCCTCCTCCCCCCCCCTCTCTCCTCCTAACCCTCTCTCTCTTTCTGTCAGTCTTACCTTCACTTCCTCCTTTTCCTCTATGTTGGGTCCATCTAATCAAATCTTCCCTCTCCCCATCTTCCACTTCTTCCCCACTCATCCCTCTCCTCCCCCTCACCCCCCTTCTCGTCGTGGGTCTGTGCCAGAAATCGTCGTCTGGTTTAGGTCACGTCGTTGGCACGGTTGTCGCCTATTTGTGAGTGAGAATAGGTTTGCCTACTACAAGCCACGACTGGTCATCGCATTGGTACGCGCCATGAAGCTCTCGGCCAATCACGAGCGACTGAATGATCCCCCTCGGCCAATAGCAGAAGATTTTCAACTAATTTGGTCTCTTGAGAAGGCTTGTCTCTTTTCTCGCGTCCAATCACGAATAACTGACTCTTCCTTCGACCAATCATGAATCACTGACTCTTCCTTCGACCAATCATGAATCACTGACTCTTCCTTCGACCAATCATGAATAACTGACTCTTCCTTCGACCAATCATGAATAACTGACTCTTCCTTCGACCAATCATGAATAACTGACTCTTCCTTCGACCAATCATGAATAACTGACTCTTCCTTCGACCAATCACGAGGGAATTTCTGTTTCTAGAGACCATTGGCAATCACAAGGGGTCATCTCTTCTCTTCTAATAGCGAGGGCCAATCTGTTTTAGACCAATCAGGGGAAATAAGGCGAGGTGTTTAATCTTCAGGTGATATGATGCATCCATACAACTCCAGCCGGGAAGAAAATTACATTCCAAACTTTTTTTCTTAAGAGGCTGTGGTCCCAGTGGTCCCAGTGAGCAATAACATCACAGAGGCTAATATGACTCACTCCTGCCAAGAGCCTAGACGAACATGTGGTCACTGGGAGGTAAATATAGGTTGAGTGACCGGCCCAACTGTTACTCAAGGATGTGTACCAAGATGGCCAACTTCTGCTTCGTAATATATTAAAATGGCCATGTAAACTTTTTTTTTGTATTGCATTAAATGGCCAATTTCTGCTTCTTATTGTATTAAATTGGACATGTTAATTTTTCTTCACTGTTTTGTATTGTAAGGAGTAGGGAACTGAGGTAGTCTTGTGCCTTGATGATTTTCGTTTGTCTCTGTGATGTACCAAGGTGTCCGTCTGTTTGGATTCGAGTGCCCGATCGTATTTGGTTTTATAAGTATTACTGTATTTATTCCTCTATCGTAAAACAAGTATATTTTTGTTTAATTTAATAAAAACACTAATAATCACTGCGGTTCTATTACAATTCTAAAATCTAAAATTATAGAAGTGTTGATATTTGAGAGTGGAAACTGAGGAATGGGTCTTCGTGTTGCTCAGGTACAGTAATTGTCTCTATATTTTCTCATTAGTATCTGTAGGTGGTCACTGGGTCACCTGGGTACTGTCCAACTACAGGTACACACAGGTATTAATTAGTGTTGTCTCGTAACTGCTAAATGTTATGGATGTATTTAGTCAAGTTTGTCTCATGAGATTTTTAAGTTTTTTTTTAGATTTATTTTTTTCTCTTGGTGTGTATTTTTAGGTCAATCATTACACTCGTCTTTAGTTTATCTGTTACGAAGACAAGTCAGTATTTGAATCATTGTAGAGCCTCGTCGTATCATTTACAGCATTAGTTAAGGAAAAATAAAGCTTCGTTCGCCATTAAGAAGTAAATTACTTATCCAGTCACTGATCTACTTCCTGGAATGGTTTTGTTGTATAAATGCGACAAAAAGATTTCCTCTGCCAAGTGTTCACAGTGACTCACAGATTAGTATTTACGGGAAAATTTCTATAATGAATTTTCTTTCCCAACACCGAGACTGTCTTGTTTTCGCGTTATATTTACCTTACTGTCGTCTCCATCATTCCCCTCTCATTAAATCTTAAACTTTTGATTCGCGGGTAAAAATCTGATAAATATTACCTGAGCCAAGACGTAAACACTGACTCATAGCCAGTTTTTCTCGCCAGAAGGTTTCCCGCCAAAACTAACCCACCCACATATTTTGGTGGTGAATATGTTGGCCGACGATGTAAACGTGTGTGCGTCTCAACCCACACACCCGCGCGCAAATAAATTCCTGCCAGGCGGCCTTCAGCAGGTATAAAGTTTTTGTTCAGTAGTGCTCCTTGGTGGCTCGCATGGCTCCATATAAGATGTTGGAGCCATTAAATGTTTTCCTTGGCGAGCTTCAACGTATCTGTGATGACGTTCTCGTTGCTGGATCAAAGACTCTTATGTCCATTGGGTGTTGAAGTCACTTTCTGTTTACTTTGGCGTGTTTCAACCTGCCTGACGCGCGCTCTTAATGTTATTGACTCTGGACAGGCCATACACGCCCGGGTCTGACTACCTTATGCTTGAACATGCAAGCGTCATCAACATTATTATTATTATCATTATTATTTTTATTATTAGTAGTCATATTATATAAACCTACTCATTTTATCCCCGTACCAACGCGAGCACTCACCAACGCGTCATGTACCCACGTAATCTACGCCAGACGAACAAGCGCCAACCTTTTATGGAACAGATCAAAGGAACCTCACCCATATAGTGACTGACTGACATACATACAGTCTACCAGTCACCGATACAGCCGTGGTTATAGTGACATATTGTAATTATACGTAAATTATAACTTCTCCATGGACAAAGATTATAGTGAATTAGAGACAAGATTAGCTGTAATATAGACAGGGATGGTTGATGTTAACAAAGAAATTAATACAAGTAAAAGCCATTATTGCCATAGATGATTATTGATAAAACTGTGGGGCTTAGTGTGATGTAATAATGGTGATGTGGCATGATACAGGTGATGTGGCATGATACAGGTGATGTGGCATGAAGGTGATGTGGCATGATACAGGTGATGTGGCATGATACAGGTGATGATATGGCATGATACAGGTGATATGGCATGATACAGGTGATGTGGCATGATACAGGTGATGTGGCATGATACAGGTGATGTGGCATGATACAGGTGATGTGGCATGATACAGGTGATGTGGCATGATACAGGTGATGTGGCATGATACAGGTGATATGGCATGATACAGGTGATGTGGCATGATACAGGTGATGTGGCATGATACAGGTGATGTGGCATGATACAGGTGATGTGGCATGATACAGGTGATGATATGGCATGATCTAGATGCTGATATGACATGATACTTGAAATTATATGAAAATAGCATGAATTTAGGATGATAGTCGCTCGGGTAATTATGGTACTGTTCATGGTAGTAGTGTGATAATGGTATTGTGTTATGGTAACAGGATGGTGCTGGCACAAGGGTGATGGTGGTATGATGGCACTAAGACTTGGGTATCTTTGGTACTAGAATGGTGCAGGATGATGGCAGTAGGGTAATTAAGGCACTGGGATGATAATGGCACTGGGTAATGGCACTGTGTCAATGGTATAAGGTGATGATGCACTTTGTGATGACACTAAGATGATGATGGTACTAGGAATAATGATGGTACTAGGGTATTGAGGATGGCACTTGGTGATGGCACTTCGTAATGACACTAAGGTGGTGATGGCACTTGGTGAGAACACTTGGTGATGGCACTTGATAATGGCACTTGGTGATGATGTCACTAGGATGATGATGGCACTTGATGGTGGCACTAGGGTTGGTGATGGCACTGTAGAACGTGGACTAGTTAGAGATGGTTACAGGAACAAGTTGATGAGCGTGGCGGACACAGCATTAGCACACAATAAGTCCTCACACAAATGACCCACTGAAGATGAATGAATGAAACGCTAGTCAGCTGAAGACGCGTTGGTCTGGTGTCTCAGGGATGGTGAGAATCGCACCAAGATGGGGACAAAAATTCGTGCTGGTGATCGACTGTTGCGGAGTACAGTCCACCAAGACGGAGAGGGAAAAAGAATTCGGATAATTATTCAAGATGGAGGTGGTTCCTACCTTCGTCACCGGCCATCTTGCTGTAAAGAGAGAAGGAGAACGATAGTCACCACACCCACGGGCTACCTCGCCCCAACTAACGCCAGTCTCACCCAAGTGGTGCCGGCTATACTCGCATCCGGCCCAGCGCCCCCTGTCCGACCTAGCTGGCACCTCCCACCGTCCCTCCCTCACCCCCACCTAACCCCCCCTTCTGTTCTCACGTCCATTTTGGTGTGTTTGTTGTGTTCCATCAGTGGTCTTCGTGTGTGGGGATGTGTTGCAAGGTGTTATGTGTGGGGACGAGACACCCGAGGGGTCATAAACTGATGGGATTTATAGGTTTTAAAGAAAATAAACTCGACGATGAGCTGTGGAAAAAATGGTTATTGGCGGGTTAAGGCTGGGTGTATGTGAGACGGTGCCGGGTTGCCGGTGGCAGTGCGCATGCGCAGGGTTTATTTCTGCCGACGCTCGGTGCCAGGTCGGACTCGTACCTCTCGACAATTAAGGACAACAAATGCCGAGTGCCACAGCGAGGCTAAGATCTTACCCCGCGGGGCATCTTATGAACACAAACACCCATCTTGTGGCTCGTAATCCCTTCCAGTCGAGGATAAGATGGGTGGGGGGGTGGGTGAAGGAGGCGGTGCAGTAGTTAGGGTGATGGTGTGGGACGGGTGGTCACTGTGTACCTATCTCCGATTACACCATCTTCTGCCACCACTACTGTCTCTCACGCTTGACTGCCTGTCCTTCACCCCTGACAATCTGTCTTGACACACACACACACACACACACACACACACACACACACACCGAGATACAGTGGAATTTCTTTTATACTGATAAATTTTATAAGAGTCACAAAACATCAACAAACTGCATTTTTTCCTTCCAAACTCTTTATATATTTTCACTACAACTAAAACCCCTTAAATAGACACCAAACAAACATCTGCTGACAGTTCTCCTGAAGGTCGTAAACACCCTGTAGAACTATTTTTCTTCTTCTCACTTTTAACGAGATTGAAACCACAAGGAAAGGTCACAAGACATAGCCCCCAAATTAGGAAGTTTTTAAACCATTAATTTCTAAACATTTTGACTAATTAGCGAGACAGAGAGCGCATTACCCACCTCTTTTGTTTTAGTGACTAATTTATCGTGATATATGAGTGAATTTTGGAGTCTTATGATGTGAGGAGGATAAGGGAAGGCCTAGGTGATGATATACTTGATTTTAGAGGCATTTTAGAGTCTTGTAAGATGAATGAGGCGAGACTTATGGTACATCCACTCATATATGTTGGCAGTGTTGGTTGAATTTTCTGGTTGATATGTTGGTGAAATGTTGAACGTGAAGTTGATGAAGCCTACCTCTCTCCCCTCCCCCTCCCTCCTATAATTTTATCTACCCTTTTCCTCCCAAACTTCTCCCCATAGTAATTATTCTACGGCGGGGGGGAAACCCACGCCTCCTCCGTCCTCCCTCCCTCCTAACCCCCTCCCTCCTCCTCCGTCCTCCCTCCCTCCTAACCCCTCCCTCCTCCGTCCTCCCCTCCCTCGTACCATCGGTTCTAATATTGGGGTAAACAAAATAAAAAATGGCAACTTGTCGTCATAAAAGATATTACCACATATCTTAATCTTGTGTCAGCTTTAGTCACCTGTTCTGACACGGTGTAGGAAGATACGGTTATATTTTGTGTCAATTTAAGATGTAAATAGATCTTTCTTCATCCACAGGAAAGAGTTAAGGGTTTAAGATAGTGCATAGTCACATTATGTTACGAGGAAAGTCAACAAAAATATCCGATTGTAGTGTTTCTCGGTACGGATGGTGTAAGAATGTATGTAATTGAAACACAAAATAAGCATCTATGACGTTACAATTATACAAGTGTTCTACCTTAACTAGATACGTTCATTTAGCATCATTTAGCAACCAACAAGGTAAAGTATCTTTCGAAAGTTCTCTATGATTTTATTATTTCTGATGTACAGTGAATGTTTCTCGTTAAGGTAATGACTTAGGGTAATGTTTATGCTATTGGATGTGGTTTGTGTGTTTAAATCTATATCATCCAATTAGATACATTCTGATATCTTAGGTCATGATGAATAGCCAATAAAGGAACTGGACCCTGGAGGATGACATCTCGAGGAATAGCCAATAGAGAAGGTGGACCCTGGATGATGACGTCACCCCCACACCAGTTGAGGTCGAGGCGTGGCGCATGCGCAGTGAGTATTATTATTAATATGTCCACCAAATGTTGTCTTTGGCTCATCTACAAGTATTACCATTAACGTCACAGTGGCTCTATGTATGGTATATATCTTTCTTACCACACACACACACACACACACACACACAGTTCCACCCTTCCTCTAACACGTCTTAATGGCCAGAGGGTGCCAGAGTAAACTGTGGCTCTCTCTCTCTCTCTCTCTCTCTCTCTCTCTCTCTCTCCTTAGTCTGGTGAGGTTCCTTAGGGCCATTCCGGGAGTTTTAATACGATGTAAACAAACACAGTGGTGCCACATCTCACATAACGCACCAGTCTCTGTACCAGGTGAATGTGTAAGCGAGTGAACATATCTTCAAACTGACTGCCAGAAAGGTTAACACGGCTCTTTCGTCTATGTTCCAGTGATGAGTGTATTAGAAATCATCCCAAGTTTTTTTTTAAATGTTTTAAGTGACAATTAATCATCTCTGTCAGGCTTGTGTTACTAAACCATTAACAGAGACCAATAATTTATGTTGGGAATTATTTGAAAGGTCGCCATTATGTCTCCAAGTGATAGTTGATCATAATGGCCAACTGTGAGAGATGTGAGGAGGTTGTCAAGATGGCTGACAAGGACACAAGTGACCGTGTGTGTGTGTGTGTGTGTGTGTGTGTGTGTGTGTGTGTGTGTGTGTGTGTCGATGTTATGATGGCCTCCAGTGTATTTACTCCATCACCTGCCACATAGAATCAACAGATGTCATTATTGTGTACTAATTACTAGATCATCTGAAGGCAGCGTCGTTCATCGGGTGACACACACACACACACACACACACACACACACACACACACACACACACACACACCTGTACAATACCAAGTAACAGGAAGATTTTTCAGCTCATTGATTATCGTAAAGGTCCCTGTAATGTCTTCATCTCGTCTCTCTTCTCCTCGTTATTGAGAAGATAAACACTGGACCTTATAAACACATGATGACCATTAGGTGTTGTGTGAAGGGAAGGTCTGTGATACAACCATTCCAGTGGGTGATGGGTGGCCTGCCGTGGTGAGTGGGCGGAGGAGGGTGGGAGGGGTGTTGGGATCCTGTAGTGTGTCTCGTTGGGTGAGGGCCTCGCTGGTGGGCTTTTGGTGTGCCTTCTTACACGCCCAGACAGCCTACCGTACAGGAAACATTGTTATCACCCTCTATCAGTCTCCCAGAGAAAGATTCAGTGACTGGAGGAGTCTGAGATATCACATTATCCATATATAACACCGGCCTCTGGACCTCCGTATGAGAGGTTGTGTTAGCGGTGATTAAAAACCACAAAGACATCGGTGTCATCTCGTGTGACCTTCCTACTGGTGATGTCACGTTTAGTCAATTTCATAAGATCAAGTCAGTTCCTCGTGTGTTGTGTGAAGGTCACCTCAAGGTTCCACTCTGACTGTTCATATCTCAGTAGGAACTGGGTCTCTGGCACTGGCCACCACCAACTTGTTGTCAAGCACTTGCCTCATCTCTCAAGTGCTCACGAATCATTACTATGAGCTGTATATTTTTGTGAGTAACAGTGATGACCGGTCTGTCAGTCTCCTCTACCTGCACGACCTTCACTGAGGCCTCACACTGAACCTCTTGTTACCGCTGGTGGTACAAGCAACAAGCACCGGTAAACACACCCAACATAACAGACAAAATGGTCTCCAGCAACAGCAACCATCTTGGATATATGTACTGCACTTCCTCTAAGATGTTCCTCTGTGATTAAACATTATTACCACTCATGTATTTCACCTGTTGTCACCTGTAACTATGGGGGTCACCTTTATAATTCTCTCCCAAAATACTTCCCCAGAATAACAGGGCGGGTGTGTGGGTCCCTCTCTGTTTGATCTTCACCTGATAAAGTAAACAAAACAGCAACACAACTTATTATAAACCTTAAGACATTCTTCACTTATGTCTCTCTCTCTGCCAGCGTCGCCATCATCAAGGAGAGGACAGACACCCACACAGTACCTCCGGGAAATACTTGCAACAGTGTGTAAATCTGAGTTGCTTTATATACTCACTGGACTATATAAGGGATGAGGGGATTATGCGTTTTGGTATTTAGATATTTATGATGTATAAGCCAAATTATTTCTTGTATCTTTTTCATCATATTTTTCTCATTAACATATCAGTCAATCAATCAATCAATCAATCAATCACTCAATCAATCAATCAATCACTCAGAAGGCCCTTCAGTGAGCCCATGGACCCACACTGTAACTTGCTTCCCGTCAGCTGTACTGTCGTGACACACACACACACACACACACACACCTGACAAAGTGTATACGTGGTGGAGTGTATCAGTCAGAGTCAGGCTTACTCAGCAGGGGGTATATGTATCCTGTGTGTGTATGTGTACTGTACCTGTATATATACCTGTGTATATGTGTACCTGTATGTATGTGTACCTGTATGTATGTTTACCTGTATGTATGAGTACCTGTTTGTGTACCTGCGTGTATGTGTACCTGTATGTATGTTTACCTGTATGTATGAGTACCTGTTTGTGCACCTGTGTGTGTACCTGTATAATTTACTTAATGAACGTAAAATTAACTTCAACTTCATACCTTGGATTCTCAAAATATTCTCCAGGTAGATTTCTTCCCTAACTAAACAAGATTGAGAAAGACTCACTTAAACTTCGACACAAAGATGGATTCACAAAGGCCAATACTTCATATTTTCACGATAATTGGAATCGTATGGTTACATCTAACTGACTCACTGAAACGACAACTGACTCACTGCAACGATAACTGACTCACTGAAACGACAACTGACTCACTAAAACGACAACTGACTCACTAAAACGACAACTGACTCACTGAAACGAC